GCTTAGGGCAGCCTATTCACTTGATCCCTATGCGCAACAAATGCCTCACAAACCTTTTGGAGCAGAACGTGGCACATTTTTAAAGAACACAACTAGGACTCCCAAGGCAATACCTGCTGACAGTCACTGGAGGCATCATCTATTTTCATCCGGTGATCCAGCCAGTATGGCTGTTTTTCAACAGAAAATCGCTCTTGCAATTACAAAACATTTAACACTTACAGAGGCGCTTAAAATGACCAGCTTTATTTCTGTGAAAACCTTAACCATTTAAAAAATGGTTTGCTGTAACTGATTATAAAGTTTTAGCTGGATTCAACTTGAGTTTGTTAGTGCATTTAAATCTGCTAGTATATCTAACACTCCCCTCCCAGGCTGACAAATCTGCTGTGCTCCTTCATTCACAGTGGTGTCTGTATAATACAGGAGATGTAGGTTTCAGTATTGGGACCCTTACTTTTTAATATATTTATAAACAATATAGGGTATGAGATTAAAAAAATTCCATTTCAGTCTTGCAGATGACACCAAGCTGTGCAGTGGAATAACGTCCTTACACAGGATGTCTTCAACTTACAAGCCGACCTCAATTCACTGTGTAATCCCTAAATGTAAGGTTCTGCACTTGGGGGCTAAGAATATGAATGCATCATATATACTGGGGGGGGGGGGTACAATGGGGGAATCAATGGTGGAGAAGGATCTGGGAGTTCTGGTAGATCACAAGCTTAATAATGGCATGCAATGCCAAGCTGCGGTTTCTAGAGCGAGCAAAATCCTCTCTTGTATTAAAAGAGGTATAGACTCCAGAAGAGAGATATCATTTCCCCCGGTACAAATCATTAGTAAGACCTCATCTGGAATATGCAGTTCAGTTTTGGGCACCAATTCACAAAAAGAACATTGGGGAACTGGAGAAAGTACAGAGAAGGGCAACCAAACTGATAAGAGGAATGGAGGAGCTCAGCTATTAGGAAAGATTAGAGGAACTGAATTTATTCTCTCTTGAGAAGAGGAGATTAAAGGGGGGATATGATCTCCATGTATAATACATAAGGAGGGATATGATCACCATGTATAATACATAAGGGGGGATGTGATCTCCATGTATAATACATAAGGGGGATATGATCTCCATGTATAATACATAAGGGGGATATGATCACCATGTATAATACATCACCATGTATAATACATAAGGGGGGATATGATCACCATGTATAATACATAAGGGGGGATATGATCACCTACATAAGGGGGGATATGATCACCATGTATAATACATAAGGGGGGATATGATCACCATGTATAATACATAAGGGGGATATGATCTCCATGTATAATACATAAGGGGGGATATGATCTCCATATATAATACATAAGGGGGGATATGATCTCCATATATAATACATAAGGGGGGATATGATCTCCATGTATAATACATAAGAGGGGATAAGATCTCCATGTATAATACATAGAGGGGATATATAATACATAAGGGGGGATATGATCTCCATGTATAATACATAAGGGGGGATATGATCACCATGTAATAATACATAAGGGGGGATATGATCACCATGTATAATACATAAGGGGGGATATGATCTCCATGTATAATACATAAGGGGGGGATATGATCTCCAGTATAATACATAAGGGGGGGATATGATCTCCATGTATAATATCTCCATGTATAATACATAAGGGGGGATATGATCACCATGTATAATACATAAGGGGGGATATGATCTCCATGTATAATACATAAGGGGAATATGATCACCATGTATAATTACATAAGGGGGGATATGATCCATGTATAATACATAAGGGGGGATATGATCACCATGTATAATACATAAGGGGGGGATATGATCTCCAAGTATAATACATAAGGGGGGATATGATCTCCATGTAGAATACATAAGGGGGGGATATGATCTCCATGTATAATACATAAGGAGGGATATATATTCACCATGTTTAATACATAAGGGGGGATATATGATCTCATGTATAATACATGTATCTCCATATAATACATAAGGGGGGGATATGATCTCCATGTATAATACATAAGGGGGGATATGATCTCCATAATACATAGGGGGGATATGATCTCCATGTATAATACATAAGGGGGATATGATCTCCATGTAATACATAAGGGGGGGATCACCATGTATAATACATAAGGGGATATGATCTCCATGTATAAATAAATATAGGGGGATATGATATGTATAATACATAGGGGGATATGATCTCCATGTATAATACATATATGGATCTGATCTCCATGTATAATACATAAGGGGGGATATGATCTCCATGTATAATACATAAGGGGGATATGATCTCCATGTATAATACATAAGGGGGATATGATCTCCATGTATAATACATAAGGGGGATATGATCTCCATGTAGAATACATAAGGGGGATATGAGGGATATTTATAATACATAAGGGGGGATATAGTATCACTTTAATGCATAATACATAAGGGGGGGATATGAGAACAAGTATAATATTTTAAGGGGGTATATGATGTCCAAGTAAATACATAAGGGGGGATATGAAACTCCATGTATAATACATAAGGGGGGATATGATTCACCATGTATAATACATAAGGGGGATATGATCTCCATGTTCAATCCAGTTAAGGGGGAATATAATCTCCATGTATAATGCATAAGGGGATATGATGGGTTCCATGTATAATACATAGGGGGATATGATCTCCCGTATAATACATAAGGGGGGATATGATCTCCATGTATAATACATAAGGGGGCATATGATCCCATGTATAATACTTAGGGGGGATATGGATACATAGGGCGCAACATATGCCTCCATTTTATAGCATAACGGGGATATGATCTCCATGAATACATACTAGGGGGATATGATCTCCATGTACCTAATACATAAGGGGGGATATGATCTCCATGTATAATACATAAGGGGGAGTATGATCTCCATGTATAAACAGAAAAGGGGGGATATGATTACAAAACATAACATAAGGGGGATATATCTCCATGTATAATACATAAGGGGGATATGATCTCCATGTATAATACATAAGGGGGATTGATCTCCATGTATAATACATAAGGGGGATATGATCTCTCCTATGTATAATACATAAGGGGGGATATGATCTCCATGTATAATACATAAGGGGGATATGATCTCCATGTATAATACATAAGGGGGGATATGATCTCCATGTATAATACATAAGGGGGGATATGATCTCCATGTATAATACATAAGGGGGATATGATCTCCATGTATAATACATAAGGGGGATATGATCTCCATGTATAATACATAAGGGGGATATGATCTCCATGTATAATACATAAGGGGGATATGATCTCCATGTATAATACATAAGGGGGGATATGATCTCCATGTATAATACATAAGAGGGGATATGATCATCCATGTATAATACATAAGGGGGGATATGATCTCCATGTATAATACATAAGGGGGATATGATCTCCATGTATAATACATAAGGGGGGATATGATCTCCATGTATAATACATAATGGGGGGGGGATATGATCTCCATGTATAATACATAAGGGGGGGATATGATCTCCATGCATAATACATAAGGGGGGATATGATCTCCATGTATAATACATAAGGGGGGATATGATCTCCATGTATAATACATAAGGGGGGATATGATCTCCATGTATAATACATGGGGGGGGATATGATCACCATGTATGATCACCATGCATAATACATAAGGGGGATATGATCTCCATGTATAATACATAAGGGGGGATATGATCTCCATGTATAATACATAAGGGGGGATATGATCTCCATGTATAATACATAAGGGGGGATATGATCTCCATGTATAATACATAAGGGGGGATATGATCACCATGTATAATACATAAGGGGGGATATGATCTCCATGTATAATACATAAGGGGGATATGATCTCCATGTATAATACATAAGGGGGATATGATCTCCATGTATAATACATAAGGGGGGATATGATCTCCATGTATAATACATAAGGGGGGATATGATCTCCATGTATAATACATAAGGGGGGATATGATCTCCATGTATAATACATAAGGGGGGATATGATCTCCACGTATAAATACATCAGTGGTTCATATAGTGAACTCGGTGTAGAGTTATTCACCCTGAGGTCATCACAGAGGACAAGGGGGCACTCTTTACGTCTGGAGGAAAATAAATTTAATCTCCAAATACGAAAAGGTTTCTTCACAGTGAGAGCTGTGAAAATGTGGAATAGACTCCCTCAAGAGTTGGTTCTGGCCAGCTCAGTGGATTGCTTTAAAAAAAGTCCTGGATTCTTTCTTAGATACACAGAATATAACTGGATACTAAAATTTATAGGTAAAGTTGATCCAGGGAATATCCGATTGCCTCTCGGGGGGATCAGGAAGGAATTTTTTTCCCTGCAGGAGCAAATTGGATCATGCTTTGCTTTGGTTTTTTGCCTTCCTTTGGATCAACTGTGGGTATTGGATTATAACTTTTTTTTTTTTCTATGGTTGAACTGGATGGACTTTTGTCTTTATTCAGCCAGGCTAACTATGTAACTATGTGTTACTGGTGAGATGACCCAGGTGAAAACAGGAAAAAAAGCCTAAAAAAATGCAGCCACCACATCTAATGATTGGTAAGCTGCATTATATTAAATTTTTGGTTTGGGGTTTAATACCGCTGTAAGAGATCCATATCTAAGACATTAGGAGTTATAGAGCAGTTTATGTCTAGAGCAGATTTGTGATATTAAAAAATAGAAGGCATACTATTAAAAAGGTTTTAATGAACTCTTGGTAGTAACTTTCTCTTGCAATTATCCTTTTACTTAGGCTGTGCTATTAACAACACATAAGACTGCAGCAATGTATGATTCCTGGCTGTTCTTCATACCGTCATATATAATTGTCCTCAACGGCAGAACTTACTTTCACTGAGAGCCCTGCTCAGCTGCTCCATCTTTTCTTTGGCTGTTTTGATAAGACGTTGTTCTAACTGAAAAGAAAAAAAGCAAAGTGAAACGCCACAGATACAGCAGGCGATCCGGGGAAAATACTGTCCCAAGTGTTTAAAGCTGGATATTATACAAACGCCATGTGTATTACTACCTGAATCTTGTCCATTTCTAACAGATCTGTGCAATAACTATTCCTCTGTGCAGGAGCTTCCTGTAATAAAGACCGCACGCTGTCTCCTTGAGCAAAGTGACTGGTCTTGTCTCCGCCCCCCCACCACCACCACCCCTGTAGTTTTCTGCAGGCAGTCTGTAGTGGGTGGAGCCTACTGGGTTCCTACCACAGCTCTGTTCTTTGCACAGCACAGTGAGGCTGTCACTAATACTTTTACAGAGTAACATCTGGATTCGCAAACATATTTGATGCACAATAAAATAGATTTATATCACGGGTGTCAAACTGGCGGCTCTCCAGCTGCTGCCAAACTACAAGTCCCATGAGGCATTGCAAGATTGACAGTTACAAGCATGACTCCCAATGGCAGAGGCATGATGGGACTTGTAGTTTCGCAAACAGCTGAAGGATCGCCAGTTTGACACCCCTGATTTATATCATTTGTGGCTACTGAGGAATACATTTGAGGCTCCATGCACACTAGTGTTTTTTTTAAGCTCCTAGAAGTTATCAGCATATTTTTTTCTGCTTCTAGAAACCAAAATAGTTTTATCCTATGTGTCCATGCACACTACTTTAGGTAATTAGCATTTTTGAGCTTCAGCATCTAGGAGCAGAAAAAAAAAAAACGGTTTTGGAGAGTTTTATGGAGCGTTTTTCCAGCAGAAAAAAAACAGCTAAACGTTGCTAAAACAGCTTTTTTCTAGCTTTTTTTTCCCCTCTACATATACTGTAAAACACGAATAAAAAGCTAATTCTCCTAAAGATTTCTGAACACTACTAGAAAACACTATTACCAGCGTTTTTTATCCAGCGTTTTTTGAGATTAAAAAAATGCTAGTGTGCATGGAGCCTAAAGGAAAGTTTTGTGCCCCGACTTCAGCTTTAGTCCCTTGGTGCTGAGCGTACACAAATTAGCGGCCCCTTTGGACTGGATTTTTTTTACGTTGGGTCGCTAATTTGCGTACCTCTCTTTGTGCTGGGAGCACTCCTTTGAGCAGACTGGGAAAGTGGAGGGACAAAGTGGGGACACACTGAGTTTCCTCTCATTACCATTCAAAATGCACTGCAGTTGCGGTCTGCAGCGGGTGACAATATTAAGCTACTTGGAACCGAAGTACCGAATTGTACTTTTGTACCATGCGATGCGATTGCAGGGAGTTTGCAAAAAGTAGTACATGCACTACTTTTGGTGCAGTGCGACTTCAGCCCATTCAAAATGATTTGGCTGAAATCACACTGCACAGAACTGCATGTGAATCGCACAGAAACACAGAGCACCTTCCTGTGTGATTCCCAGTACAGAAAACACACAGCTGAAATTGCATAGCACAGAACTGTACGTGAATCTCTCAGGAACACAGAGCGCCTTCCTATGTGATTCCTAGTGCCGAAATCACACAGCTGAAATTGCATAGCATAGAACTGCATGTGAAACGCATAAGAACGCACAGCGCCTTCCTGTGTGATTCCTAGTGCTGAAATCACAGCTCTGAAATGGCATAGCATAGAACTGCATGTGAAACGCATAAGAACGCACAGCACCTTCCTGTGTGATTCCTAGTGCTGAAATCACAGCTCTGAAATTGCACAGAACTGCACAGGAACACACAGCACATTTGTCCGCACTGAACTGCATGGTAAAAAGTACCATGCAATGTGATTGCAGTGAGTTTGCAAAAGTAGTGCATGCACTACTTTTGGTGCGGTGTGTTCCCAGCCCATTCAAAATGATTGGGTTGAAATCGCACAGCACAGAACTACATGTGAATTGCACAGAAACGCACAGCGCCTTCCTGTGTGAATCCCAGTACCAAAATAACACCACTTAAATTGCACAGAACTACATGTGAATTGCACAGGAGCACACAGCGCCTTTCTAAGCGATTCCCAGTGCTGAAATCACATCCCTGAAATCAGAGAACTGCATGTGAGTCGCACAGGAACACACAGCGCCATCCTGTGTGATTCCTGGTGACAAAATCACACTGCTGAAAATGCACAGCAAAAGGACTGCATGCGAATCGCACATGAACACACACAGCGCCTTCCGCAATTCCTAGTGCCGAAATCACATCACTAAAATCGCACAGAACTGCATGTGAATTGCACAGGAGCAACAGCGCCTTCCTGTGCGATTCCTAGTGCCGAAATCACATCACTAAAATTGCACAGAACTGCATGCGAATTCGCACAGGAGCACACAGCGCCTTCCTGTGCGATTCCTGGTGCCGAAATCACATCATTAAAATCGCATAGAACTGCATGTGAATCGCACAGGAACACACAGCGCCATCCTGTGCGGTTCCTAGTGCCGAAATCACATCACTAAAAGCGCACAGAACTGCATGTGAATTGCACAGGAGCACACAGCGCCTTCCTGTGTGATTTTCAGTGTCAAAATCACACCGCTGAAATCGCACAGTACAAAAGTGCATGTGAATCCCAGAGGAATGCACAGCGCATTCCTATGTGACTCCCAGTACATTCCGGTCATTAATTAGGGCCAGCTGTGTTCAAAGTTTACATCTGATCACGTTTAGATTGTACGGTTACCTGGTAGCTGTGTTCATGGTTTTTAAACCTTGTATAATAGTGCATAAACCTGTCCAGTTCCTGGAACCTTTTATGCTTCTTCTCTGCCTAGAAACAAAGAAAACAATTGTAAAACAAGGCACAGTAACATCCTCTCATGGTATTATTGTCAGTTATAATACATCCAAGTAACCCCCATCTGTGTCAAATGAGGATATTAAGGGGGATCCAAACCTAGGGAGCAGCCACTGATTACTTGTTCTTTAGGTTGCATGTTCCAAGGTTGTCATCCTCATCCTTTGGGTTGGACTATTATAATGCACCTGTGCCCAGGCTATGGACATTTAACAACCGACACATTCTAAACTCACCTTTACTCATCGCTCTAGGGCAGGTGTGTCCAAACTGCGGCCCGAGGGCCGATGCAACCCTTTGTTAGTCTTTATTTTTTGGGGTACTATACTCATCCCAATGATAGGAGGCACTATTCTACCCACTGACACCAACAATGGGGAGCTATTTCTTTCACTGATAGCAATGATGAAGTACTATTCCTCCTAATACCAGCGATGGGGCACTTCTCCACGTCCTACTGACCACCAAGCCCTTGAGGCCATGGTTATTCTCACTGATGCTGGGCCCACCCGGAACATTTTCGACCCTCACTAGCCACAATTTGGCCCCCTTAAAGTCTGAAGGACAGTAAACTGGCCCCTTTTGTCAAAAATGTTTAGAGACCCCTACTGTAGGGCCATGCATGTAAAGCTGTGTGTATGCTTGTTAATGTGAATGTGCTGCCTAACACACCAAAATACACAAAAAAGGTGCATGCAGCATTTTCATCAGCACAGTGCATGGGAAGGTGCGTTAGCATGCTGTTTCATTCATGCTTTGCTGCAACACAAGTTTGCTGAGAAGATGCGTTGGGGTGCATTCAGAATGGCAGCGCAGTGGTGCGAATGAGGTCCCTTAGGCAGGCTTAATGCCCTATGAAAAGTGATCAGCAGTGGATGGATATTCAAGGTGTGGTATAGCAATAGCTGGCAGGCATTCAGGAGGTGCTACTGTCGCTTCCCCGATGCCTTTTTTTTTTTTTTTTTTTTTAAATTGCTAAAATGTCAATTTTACATTGCAGGGCTTTGCTGCAAATGTGAGCCAAGGATTTGGCTTGCGGTTGCGATGAAGTCCCATTGCTTTCAATGGGTGAGTTTGACAGTAAAACACCGCAAGCTGTATTAAAAATGCTGCGGTCATGACATGTACCAGCCCTAGGAAATAATGCAACGATGTTGGTGAGCAGCCAAGGCAGTAAAACCGTGGCTCAGCTACCTGTTTTTACTACTGCCTGTGTCAAGAAGCCCTTAACATGAACTTATTCATTTTCAAAGATCACAACAAAGACTCCAAAGTCAGGGGTCCATCTTCTAACAGCTTCGAGACCTCAGCTGCTTGTTTACATTAGGGGACCTGTCACAGATGTCCAAATTGCATGTGTGAGTCTTAATGACACCTTGGCGCATCGGCAATTGCCGCACATTTTTGTGAGCACCAAACTGGTGTGGTGCAGCGCAATTTAAAAAACGGGTCAGGGGGTCATGACTTCTTTCTCTGCATTTTCGTATGTAAGACAGCCCACTGAAATGAATCTGCTGCCTACCACCAGCCAGTGCTGATGGGACAGTTACTCGGTCTGGATCCGGACCACGGTCCGCCATTTAGTGATGTCTGCTGTAGAGAGTGTTGGTTGCTGGGCATCTCCCACCTCTCTGATCAGGCTATGTACAACACACTGATGATGTCACTGCTACTTTTTAAAGGTAATATATGGGTTTGCAGAGGCATTTAGTGCACCCAAAGTGAATTTATTGGGGACTATATGTAAATGAAAGTTTTTTCTGCCCGAAGTTCCATTTTAAACCTTGAAGTTTGTATGACTTTATTGTAGAATTTTCCTGTGTACACCGCAGGCATGGTTGATCTGCAATCCTCCTTACACATGTGGAGAGAGGGGTGATAAATACATGATCTCTTGTAGGTGTGTTATGTGCCAGACAAGTATAATACTCCAGATTACCAGTGTGACTTGGGCACAGAATGTGGATACAAACAGAGGGCAGAGCAGTCATGCGAGTAATTGCTACCATTTCACATTCATTGTGAGAAACAGCATCTCAGATATGAGCAGTAGGTTTTGAAATGTAAGCTAAAAGCCATTTCCTGAGCGGTAACAATGGCGAACGACAGGGAACATATAATCCATCTTTTCTGAAGACATTGTGCATAAAAGGCTGGATCTGATAAACCTGGATTACACCAACACTTCCAAGACAAAACATTTCCAAGGATTCCTCTTGTGACTTCATTAGGATCTGCCTTATTAAAGGGGTTAGTCCGCACAATACTAAAACTGTAAGCAGATTCTGCTGGGTTATGGGAAACCTGTCAATATCCAAAATATGAAATCTGCAATTGTCAGCCTGGTTCTTAGGCTAGGTTCACACTAGAACGCAGTGCAGGAAAACCTGCGATCCGTGTGTGTTTCCTGCATTGCGTTCAAAACGCACTACAGTTGTGATCTGCAGCATATGTTAAGTTAACAACATCACAAACGTGGCTCCCAGATAGTGCGTCTGACTGCACCAGATCCCATGTTACAAAAGTACCATGTGATCTGGTTGCAGTGTGTTTCCAAAAATAGTGCATGCATACTTTTGGTGCTATGCAGTGTGATTTGATCCCATTCAAAATAATTGGGTTCAAATTGCACCACTGAATTGCACGTGAAATACACAGGAATTCCTGTGCGATTCATAGTGTGACCTGGGGCTTGTAGCCCAAATGAAGTCAAAGAAATGGATATGTGTTCATGTAGATTGTACCAACATACTCTACTTTCCTAGCCTTACTTCCACTTTTCTGTTTCAGCAGTTGTTCATGGCGTCTAAATAGGACTGCGCTCTCCAACAGGTACCAGAGTTCGACCCAGTGCTCTTAGTAATCAGCACCAAGTAAAGCTGGCTATAAATGGTTAGTTTTATTTTTTGTTCAGCCAGATGGATTCCTCCATTCACATAAATGAGGTGAATGGATAAATCCCCAAGTCAGAACATTGTATTCCAACAGCATCACCTGCAGCTGTCAGAATACAGTTATCAGTGGCCTGCAGCTAATATGCTGCAGCTGCAGATACAGCATGTCCCTTCAATAGAAGTGGATCAAACTGGTGATTCACCAAAATTAAAATTCTGGTGCCAAAACCGATACCGAAAATTAAGAATGCATGTGGCTAACCGAAACATCTGCGTATGTGGGGGTGGGGAGGCTCAAATTTTTTTTTTAATTTATTTTTTAACTTTAAGGTGTATTTTTATTTATTTTTTTTAACTGACAAACCAACAGTCCCCTATGTGATAGCATGAGTGACAGATCCTCTTTGTAGGGGGGAAGGGGGGTGGGGGGAGTGCAAGGAGGGGGCAGAAGAGGAGCAGTGTATATAGTGAGGGAGCAGTGTACTCTCATTGTGCATTATTGTGGTATGCCACGTGTTTATTAAATAGACAAATGGAGATAAACGAAGATAAATGCAGTCCACATACACTGCTTTTATCTTCGTTGGTTTGTGAGTATACATCCATTTGTCTATTTAACAAACACGTGGCATACCACGGTAATGCACAATGAGAGTGCGCCCTTGTCTGCTCTTTTTCACCAGTGTTCAGATTTCCCAATCTTTGAAGGGCAGCACCTCTTCGTCTGGCATCCTGAATTTCTTTTAGTCTGCATGAGGATTGGAGGGCTGGTTTCGTTTGTCTATTGAGGGAGCAGTGTGTACACTCAGGCACATTGGAAGGATATCCTCCTTCCTGCTGAGATCCCAGGACAGGAAGTAAAGGGCAGTCTCCCTAATGAAACACAGATGGAAAAAAACAAAACAAAACCAAAAAACAAGTTTTGGCTTTGGATATACTTGTGTGGAGTGGAGAGGGATTAGAACGCCTATTAGGTCTTTATTGCTGTCTGCACCTCTCTCTATTTGTCCTGTCCATTATCATTGAAAGTGGAAGCAAAAAAAACCCCCCAAAAAACGAATTTTAGGTTGTCCCTAGAAAAGTAATAGAGAGGAAATCTGCCAATGGGGTCACTAGTTCTGGTGACCTAGAAGGTAAAGGGGGGCCCAATGGATTCACTTCATTTGCAGGCATTTCCACTCACTTCCTGTTTTGGCTATGGTACAGGAAGCAAAGGTAAATCTTCCCCAATGGCAACATTTGGATACATTTGGCAAAAAAAAAAAAAAATCAGACGGGTTATAACCCTCCCTTACTTTATCCAAATGCAAAAAAAAAATGTTTTGCCCATAGTAGTTCCACTTTAAATTGGGCCAAGAGGTCTACATAGTCATCTGAAAAATGGGCGCTGTAGCTCAAAGCAACAAAAACTTTAGGTTCGTGATCAAGCTCTTCATACTCCCTCTCTACAGCAGACATGAAAATGCTCCCCTTCCCCCTGGATTGGTCTGCTGATTATCTAATCAGCAATCCAGAAATAGAACTGTGAGTGTATGGGTCATCTCTCACCTCTGCCGTCATCTCTTTAGACTGTTCTTCCACCTGAGTAATGACCTCGTAGCGGGTACAGCGGTAATAACCTCCCGTGGAAGAGCTGTGCTTCTTCCATTCTTCCAAGCAGATCCAGCAAAAGTCGTATTTACACTAAAAGAGAACATAAAATTAAGGAGAGGGTTTACATAGTTACATAGATACAGTTCTTAGCTGATTTGTAAGAGAACCTGTCACTTGCCTTCCTCTGGATCAATTGTGGGTGTAGGATTATAACTTTTTTTTTTTTTTTTTTTTTAATGGTTGAACTGGATGGACTTTTGTCTTTTTTCAGCCAGACTAACTATGTAACTTCTGAAATCGTCCAATTCATCCTTTAGCTTGATGCACATGATAACATTCTCTCATATATATATGATTTAAGAAAGTGCTAAAAGAAAACCTTATTTACTTACATGTTAACCCAAGTCATTTGTGGCAGCAAAAATAGATGTAGCACCCCCTGCCCACCACCTATAGGCTTCATTCTAACTGGTGAACAAATTTTCTAGTGCATGCATGGGCATTTGGCTGTTCTGCTAAATACAGTGCAAAGTGTCTCAAATGGGCCATGTTCTCTGACAGTCCTATGCACTTCATTTGGCAAAACCAATCTACAGCCAGATGCAGGCAAGGATCAGATTGCCTTTTAAAAGAGAAGGCCAAAGATTTTTTTTTGGCCATACCTCCCTTCGGGGTCACAGGAGTGCTCCTACTATTTGCTCTCCTGTGACCCAGGCTCAGCTGATAGAGCTTGAGTCACAGAGCTGCTCCAGGCTCTGGAAGGATCCTGACAATATTGTTGGGATTCACCCAGCTGCCTGATTGAGAGTTGGCTCAGTCTCTCAGCTTGAGGCACATCCTATCTCCCACTCATGCTATCTCTGCGCTTCAGTAAGGCAATACGGAGAGCGGCGACTGAGTCTGAGAAGACCGAGAACTGAGCAATCAGCAGCCATGTGATCTCTCAGTTCTTGGAGCAAATGTGGGGCAGCTGCAGCATCAGACCAATGCAGCAGCACAGAGGTGAGTTTAAATGTGTTTTTTGATTCCCATGCCTCTCCTTTAAGCATTTATTTATCCCAAAATACAACCAAATGTATAGTGCTGTTACCCTTACCCTCAGGAAGTCTCCCCCCTCCAGTCCTATACTCACCTGTCCCTGATCCAGCGGCATATTGCTGACTAGATCGCAGAACAACTTGTCTACATCTTCCTGGCCATGCCTGCACACTGCACTTTCATTCATTCCTGTTTTAGGGAATATTTATGTTGATCTGCCAGAAATTCAGTGAGCTCCTAAATTCCGGTTTGAACCCACAGTAGAGTGCCTCTGCTGCACTAAAATACCTGAAACCCTAATAAGGAACCTATCCTGTCCAGTTCCCTCTAATGAACTACAAAACACCTCCCACATCTATTCTAGAGATGAGTTGTTCTGGAGTGCAGAAGTGAGAACTCATACTGCTTGAGATTTCAGTGCAGCAAAAGAACTGTATTGTTAGCGGAAACAGGACGTTAGAAGCAAACTGGATTTCTAGCAGATTAACAGCAATTAAAGTGGAACTTTACCCACAACAAATGATAAAAAAAAAAATAATGTTCTTTAGCAAGGAACATACATTTCACATTAATAATTATGCTACCAAAATTAGTGTGTGCTGTAAATTGCCTCCAGCATTGTTCCGGTTTCTTCTGGCTGGTGGCTGCCATTTTGCTGAAGCCCAGAGCCCATGAGCAGCAGCAAATCTTTAGGCTGTCAGCAGTTTGGAATCTACATTTCTGGAACAGTGCCTAAAAATAAAGAGAAACTGAGCATGTGCAGAGCAGGATGAGACAGGGTATTATTGGATTTTAAACAGTATAGGTACTTATTTTTAATGTTTTACATAGCTATACCCACAAAAGGGGCCAGCATGAAGTATTCTAGCAGGACTTCATTTTATAACTAAAGTTCCACTTTAATAAATGTCCTAACTTTCAGAGCTACCAGCTGACAATTTGCAGGGCTGATAAACTGCAGCTTGAAGGTGGTAGTGTTCATCTGTTTGATACTGTAATTGTCAGATACAATCCCAGTATAAAAAAAAAATGATTTATTGAAAACAGAAAAAAAAAAGTTTCTTCACAATTTGTTTTTGCATTTTTCAGCCTATAATAATAATAATGAAAAATTGAGCAGTTTTTTATTAAAACAGCGTACCAAAACAACCTTTTAAAAAATATATCAAAATAATTTAGGCAAATTAGTCATTGTTCTAGTCAAGGCAACCGTTGCACACTAAATATAACCTTAGCATCCAAGCATCAATGAACTCTAGTCACAAAAAGGGGTTTAACACAAAGACATCTTATTCTTTTATGCAACTATGTTGGTTTAGCTATCCAATACAAAACCCAAAACTGACATTTAGAGATAGATGATGGCAAATAAACCATCTACAGATCAAAGTTTCTTTTATCAATTGGGAACATTGTTGGGGAGATCTATGCACATGGGTCCTGAGCTCCACCCACCTTCTAGAACTATAAATATAAGGCCTTGCTCCCACCACCCCTTCAAACCGCTTTACAATGAAGAATATGATGTGACTAGAGCTCTAGAAGGGGTACTTCAGCACTTACATTACTGGTGGACAAAAGAATACAGTGGTTGGTGTAACTCACTATTAGGTATACCTGTTCAATTGCTTGGTAATGCAAATTTCTAATCAGCTAATCACATAGCAGCAATTCAATGCATTTAGGCATATAAAAGTGGTGAAGTTGACTTGCTGAAGTTCAAACAGAGCATCAGAATGGAGACGAAAGGGGATTTAAGTGACTTTGAACATGGCATGGTTGTTGGTGCCAGACGGGCTGGTCTGAGTATTTCAAACACTGATTTACTGGGATTTTCACGCACAACCATCTCTACAGTTTGCAGAGAATGGTCCGAAAAAGAGAAAATATCCAGAAAGCAGCGGTTGTGTGGATGAAAATGCCTTGTTGATGTCAGAAGAGAATGGGCAGACTGGTTGCTGTGACATTCAGATGGTAGGGTCAAAATTTGGTGTAAACAACATGAAAGCATGGATCCATCCTGCCTTGTATCAACGGTTCAGGCTGGAGGTGGTGGTGTCATGGTGTGAGGGAGCTTTTCTTGGCACCAGCAACGTGTACCTAATAAAGTGGCCGGTGAGTGTATAATTGAGATTAGAGTTTTGAATGAACTGATCCATTAATATGCCAATCACATCAGTGGGTGTGTGGATGATTCCTGTAAAAGGAGCTACTAACTAGTAATAAGATGTAGCAGAGTCCCTGCCTCCAATGTAAACTGTAAGCAGTCCCTAGAGTTGTGTTCTCACCTTGGCACACTGCATGTGGTTACAGCCCTCATTTTTCTGGATGGGAGATTTGCAGTTGGCGCAGGGTTTGGAGTTTGTTAATAACCACAGGCAGTTGGCAGCATCCTCGAAAGCCTCACTCACGCCGACAACTGAAAATCATTACAGAACAGTCAGTGACCAATGTATACAATCATCAACTGCTACAGCGACTTACTTGTAAAGTATAAAAGATATGCTAGTGGTTTGGTATGTTTAACCCCTCCTGCACCCCTACGCAAAACTATCCTACGTCATATTCCTGGGATCATACATCTTGGATCAAGACAGAGCCATTTTAGCCTATTTTTAGGTCAGCGCAGCAAACAATAATTCCAAGAGTCTGATGGAAGAACTGTTCATGCTGCCGAAAAAATGAGATTTACTCATACGGCACTGGCAGTACAAAGGTACCAATCTCATTGGTTACTAAACAAACGGTTTAGATACTTGACATGACCTTAAGGCTACGTTCACACTAGCGCTGTGTGCAGGCGGTAGAGAGGCGTTTGGGAAGCATTTTTACCGCTTCCCAAACGCCTCTGCTAATTCTGCACATTACAGCACATGGTGCTATTCTAACGGGAGCGTTTGCGTCGCGTTGCGGTAAAATGGACGCCTCTGGTCGAGTCAGGAGGCTTTGAAGCCTCCTAGTCTCGTCTATGGTGCCGCTCCGCAAACACGGCAGCACGGTTGCGACGCGGTTGCGGGGCGTTTGCGGAGCGCTAACACCACTCAAACTGCATTATAGGCATTTGTGGGGCGTTATTAACGCTCGGCAAACGCCTAGCAACCGCCGCTAAACCGCGCATGCGGCGTTTGCGGAGCGTTAAAAAACCGCTCCGCAAACACCGGACCAACGCTTGCCAAACGCTATAGGGGCGTTTGGCAAGCGTTGGTAAAACAGCCAAGTGTGAACGAGCCCTAAGGGTCATGTACACAGGACGTTTGGAAAACACTACTGAACAATGGAAACTGACTGCTGGAAAACTGCATGAACTGACTGCTGGAAAACGTAGGTTAAAAAACATCTGTTTAGCCACGTTTGCGCTTAGAAGCGTTTTTTAAAGATAACCTCAGGAGACCTTCCCAAATGCCCAGAATGCACTGAAAAAAGAGTAACAAATTTACTATTTCAGACATTTTGAGAGAAATAGAGAGAGCAGAAGCAGAGAGAGCAGTATGTGTTGAGATGACCTGTCTTTTCTGGTTGTATTCACTAAGGATCCCATCATGAGCATAATGCCGCACGTTCTACCAATTTTTCCTTCACGCAAAACCTGGAACTGACTGCGCTGGTGTACCGGGTCCATTTGAATACATGGAAAACGCCTTGCATGCATTTCTGATGATGAAAAAAGGCTCTGGACAGCATCTGGATATGGAACAGTTAAAAAATGCTTCTAAATGCAAACGCTTATAAACGCAGTTAACCGCGTTTACAAATGTTTGAAACGCTGATTAAAATCTACTCCTGAACGCAAGTTTGGTGCGTTAAAAAAAAAAACCCACTGTAAACTCAACTGCCTGTAAACGAAGATGTGTACATGGACACATAGGAAAATATTAGGGAGAGTTCAGGGGGCAATGAAAAAATGCAGAAAAGCTCCTGAATGTGAGTTTATCAACTGCAGTGTACATGGAGCCCTAAAAAACAAAGTTGATCATTAGGATCTACATTGCTTATTCAGGTTTATAATGGTAAATTATAACTAAAGGCAAAACTTTTATACAGTTTTGGATAGAGCAGAGGGGGATTAGAACACGCCAGGCTTTTACTTCAGTCTGTGCCCCCGTTATGGAGATTCATCCTCTCTATTTTTCCTGTTTACCATTAACATTCAAAGTGAAAGAGAATCACAAATTTTGGGTTGTCCCCAAAACAGGAATAGAGGGGAAATCTTCCAATGGGGCACTCGATCTGATGACCCTGGTGACAACCAGGGATTGCCCCACACTACCTCTTTTGGCTATGGGACAGGAAGTGAATAGAAATCTCCCCAATGAGACACAGATGGCGAAAAAGAAAATTCTGACAGGGGTTATAATCCCCCTTAAGCCAGCCAAATGTGGAATGAATCTTGTCAGGTTCAGCAGGGACCGGCTGAGATTGGATCCATCTATAGGCAGGCTGGTTGTACTGAAGTCAATCCATCGATCATCTTCAGTACAACCAGCCTGCCATATATTTTGCATGCAATCACTGCTATAGCAGTGATTACTGTGATCTGCTGGCAGGGAAGGCTCCCTGCTGGTGGAACACAGGAGTGATGTGGGAGGGATTCCCCCATCAACACTGACTGTGTTGATAGGGAAATTGAGCAATTTTTTTTCTTTCCACCCCTGGTGGAAGGAAAGAAAATTGTATCATTTATGGCCCGCTTTACTCTATCCAAAATTAAAAAGTTTTGCTTTTAGTGCTTCGTTAAGTGACCTCTCCAAAAACAATCTTTTGCAGGCTGTGATGTAAACAGACTGAACATACTCACCCAATCTGATTGCAATGTGGCATGCCTCAATGCCAAACTGATAACACAGGCCATACTTTCTGGTCATATTTCTAAAAGATCATGTCCTCAACACCTAGTTGACCACTGATCACCATTTTCATTGAGGCTCTCAATGGGGTTATATAGAATTTATTTGTGGACAATTTATTGAGTCTCCTGTGTCATGTAGGCAGTCTGGCGGCAGTCTCCAGCATGACATGCACAGCCTATTGATATCTGCAGCACGTGTGTGCAGGTGTGTGCATGACATGCACAGCCATTTGACAGTCTGCTGCACCATGTGCAAATGACAGTCTACTGTAACATGTGCGCAGTCTCCTGTAGCCATTTTTCAGCCTCCTGTCCAAAGTCTCTGACCATCTTCTATAGCAGCCATTATCAACTTGGGTTCCTCCAGAGGTTGTTAGGGGTTCCTTCAGTTGTGGCTGATTGACCTTTCATTTTATGGTGTCTGCATAGTTCCGGGGGCAATGTCAATTGGTAGAGATAGTTGCATGAAACCAGCGATCTGTGTCTGTAGGTTGCATTCTGACCACCACTGAAAGGATTGCATTTTCCCACTGATCCCCAACATAAGGGACATTTTTTTCACCAAGGAATTGGATTTAGCAAAGGTTGTCAGAGACCTGACAATTAGTTCAAGGGTTCCTCTGGGGTAAAAAGGTTGAGAAAGGCTGTTCTATAGATTGTGGAAAATAATGTGCTGCCCTTGGCAAGGTAAAGAACCAAAGTTGAGGCACCCTACACCTACTACCGTGTTTCCCCAAAAATAAGACAGTGTCTTATATTTTTTTTTGGCTCAAAAAAACACACTACCGTATTTGCCGGCGTATAAGACGACTGGGCGTATAAGACGACCCCCCTACTTTTCCTGCTAAAATGTAGTGTTTGGGCTATACTCGCCGTATAAGACTACCCCTCTTCCAATGCACACCAGTGGGAGGAATAGTGTCCCATCATTGATGTCAGTGGGAGGAATAGTGCCCCATCATTGGTGTCAGTGGGAGGAATAGTGCCCCATCATTGGTATCAGTGGGGGGAATAGGTGCCCCATCATTGGTATCAGTGGCAGGAATGGTGCCCCATCATTGGTATCAGTGGCAGGAATAGTGCCCCATCATTGGTATCAGTGGGGGGAATAGGTGCCCCATCATTGGTGTCAGTGGGAGGAATGGTGTCCCATCATTGGTGTCAGTGGGGGGTGGAATAGTGCCCCATCGTTGGTGTCAGTGGGGGGTGGAATAGTGCCCCATCGTTGGTGTCAGTGGGGGGGGGAATAGTGCCCCATCGTTGGTGTCAGTGGGGGGGGGAATAGTGCCCCATCGTTGGTGTCAGTGGGGGGGAGTAATAGTGCCCCATCGTTGGTGTCAGTGGGAGGAATAGTGCCCCATCGTTGGTATCAGTGGGAGGAATAGTGCCCCATCATTGGTATCAGTGACACCAATGATGGGGCACTATTCCTCCCACTGAGACTTGCTGACCCTGTTCTTGTATGGTGCTGCTGCAGCCAGCATATGTGGTTGCAGCAGCACCTCTACACAGAACACTTACCTGCTGCTCCGGCACTCAATTTTCGCGGGGCCGCTCGGCTCCGCCCCCTCGCCGGTGATTGGCCGCCTGTGTGCCTTTCCTGAGCTACAATTCTGGCGGCCAATCACCGGTGAGGAGGCGGAGCCGAGCAGCCGCACGAACATCCAGTGGCCGAACTGAAGGAGACGCCGCGCTTCCTGGACCGGATCGTCGTGGGACTGGATCCAGGTAAGAGACATCAGCCCCTGCAAACCCCTGTACTTAATGCCGCAGCCCCCCTAACATGTGTACCGGCGTATAAGACGACCCCCGACTTTTGAGAAGATTTTCAAGGGTCAAAAAGTCGTCTTATACGCCGGCAAATACGGTAGGTCTTATTTTCGGGGTAGGTCTTATTTTTTAAATGTCCAGGTGTGGGCAGGGGGTGCAGAGGTGAGCTGCAGGCAGTTGTGGATGAGGGTTACTATGGAGTGGGCGGCTATGACAGTTGTGAGCTGCAGTCAGGTGTTGCAGGGGAGACTTGACAGGTGAGTTTCAGACAGGGTGCAGATATGAGCCACGCAGGGGTTAGTTGCAGATGTGGGATGCAGAGCTGAGCTGTGGCCGGAAGGTGCAGAGCTGAGCTGTGGCCGAGGGGTGCAGAGCTGAGCTGTGGCCGGGGGGTGCAGAGCTGAGCTGTGGCTGGGGGGGTGCAGAGCTCAGCTGTGGCTGGGGGGGTGCAAAGGTGGGTTGCAACTCAGCTTACCTCTGCACCCCCCCAGCCACAGCTCACCTATGCACCCTGTCTGCAACTCATCTGACTCAATTTACCTCTGCAACACCTGACTGCAGCTCACCTTTGCACATCCCCCCTTCCCCCTCCACTGCCCTCATATGGTTAGCTACCTTTGCAAAACACAACTGTCAGCAGCCGGCCCCTCTCTATAGTAACTCCCGTTTCGGGTCCTATCTTCCCACACAGTGCACCAAGCGCACTTACTCACCACTCCACCTCTTCCTCACTGGCCGGTGATCACCCCTGGGGCATCAGCTTCCATGCATTAGGCTGCAGGAGGAGATGCCCTGCCCCTAAACACACTGCACACTGCACACTGCACCCGCAGATATCTGTTCCTTCCCTGTCCCACAGTGAGTACAGAGGTAGGGAGGTTCTGTGGGAGCAGATGGTGCTGTTACTTCAGCCGCGCTTCTGTGTTTATAAGAGACAGTAGATGTGGGTGTGCGCAGGGCCAGTGTCGGAGGTGGCGGAATGGCGTTCCGCCATGTTCCGGCTGAAAAAAAGCCCTCATCACAACTAGGTCTTATTTTCGGGGTAGGTCTTATTTTTGGGGAAACAGGGTAGGTTGAGCATCACTTCCACAGAGACTTTCTATTTGCTCATATAGTTTATTTTGATATTTGGAAATTAAAAATGCTTCACAGATGGGAGAAAGATAATTAACTGTAACACAGGAAATGGAAGCTGTCGCATCTAATGTGTATTACAGTTGGAATGTGCTGTATCTTCTTTTATAATGTACAGAGAGGACTGAGCTGAGACTTCCCTGTATGATACTTACGTTCCTCTGGCTTCATTTCCGAGACCTTCTGAAGCCAGTTTTTCCACGTTTGGCAGTCGCAGGGCTCATGGGCCTCTCCCAGACACTCCCTGCAACACACAAAGCCATTCATGTTTTGCCAGTTTACAAACAACTTCAGTCTAATCAAAAACATATCTTTACTCTGGAAGCAAGCACAGGAGAAAGTTCAAACATTGACAGTCATCAACTTGAAGGAGATAACCTGGTGAAGTACCTCTTCTATCTGAGCCAGCAGCTCAGTAACACAAACGAAAAAGCTTTAACAATCTACCTGCTGAATGTGGCCAGAATTTGTGTTCCCATCCTGTAGAAATTCCACTCATAGCCTTCACCAGGGAGCACGTGGCTGGGTGACAAAGCAAGATCACAACTGGGATTTGTCATCCAATAACAAAAAGGGCCCAAAAAGGGACTTTCAGGTTAGATATTTTAAGAAAAGCTACATATTTCAAATAATAATGCTTATATGAGATCTTTGTGGTTGGGATTATATTTACCTTTAAAGCCACAGTGACCATAAGTGTTATTTCTTTTACAGTACAGAAAGCAGAAGGGATTTAGTAGTGTCCTCTGCCCACCACCAGCCTGTTGACTGGAGAGTGATGGAGCAGCAGGAGACTGATGAGCTCATCTTTCTGCTCATTCTCCGTTTATAAGCATGCGCTAATTGCTGATGTATACTGGACTGCATAAAAGCTGAAAGGTAAAAATTAGGTATTTAAAAAATATATAAATTCAGTGACTTAATAATGAATACCTAGCTGCATTAAAAGTGATTGTACAGCTTTTTTTTTTAATAAAATAACAAACATTCTACTTACCTGATCTGTGCAATGGTTTAGCAGAGAGTAGTTCTGAGCCTCCACTTCTGGGGTCCCCCGCTGGCGCTTCTGGCTCCCCCCCCCTCATGCTGAGTGCCCCCATAGAAAGCCGCTTTCTGTGGGGTCACTTGACTGACAGCAGTGGGAACCAATGGCTTCTGCTGCTATCAATCTTTCATGTGAGGAGGGAGGAAGTCGCTGATCTCATGCACAGTGCTGGTTCGAGATGGGGCTCATGTAATTATAAGGGAGGGGATTCTGTGACAGAAAGATTAGAGGAACTGAATTTATTCTCTCTTGAGAAGAGAAGATTAAGGGGGGATATGATCACCATGTATAATACATAAGGGGGATATGATCTCCATTTATAAATACATAAGGGGGATATGATCTCCATGTATAATACATAAGGGGGATATGATCTCCATGTATAATACATAAGGGGGATATGATCTCCATGTATAATACATAAGGGGGATATGATCTCCATTTATAAATACATAAGGGGGATATGATCTCCATGTATAATACATAAGGGGGATATGATCTCCATGTATAATACATAAGGGGATATGATCTCCATGTATAATACATAAGGGGGGATATGATCTCCATGTATAAATACATCAGTGCAGAGTTATTTACCTTAAGGTCATCACAGAGGACAAGGGGGCACTCTTTACGTCTGGAGGAAAAGAGATTTAACCTCCAAATATGGAAAGGTTTCTTCACAGTAAGAGCTGTGAAAATGTGGAATAGACTCCCTCAAGAGTTGGTTCTGGCCAGCTCAGTGGATTGCTTTAAAAAAAGGCCTGGATTCTTTCTGAGATACACAGAATATAACTGGATACTAACATTTATAGGTAAAGTTGATCCAGGGAATATCCGATTGCCTCTCAGGGGATCAGGAAAGACTTTTTTTTCCCTGCAGGAGCAAATTGGATCATGCTTTGCTGGGTTTTTTGCCTTCCTCTGGTTCAACGTTTTTTTTTTGTTTTTTTTTTAAATGGTTGAACTGGATGGACTTTTTCCTTTTTTCAGCCAGACTAACTATGTAACTATGTAGGAAGGTTTTTACCTTTAGACTTTAGAACCATTTTAATTTGTGCCTTTTCTTTTTCCCTGGAGTTTGTGAACTTTTTCAGCCAGGCCTTTTGAATGCTTATTTTTTTGTTTCTCATCTTTGCCAAACGAGAGTTTATAATAGTTAAAAAGTACTGCAAACTCAAGCCAAGTGTTTTGCTCGCCGTTGCAGCGTGGTCCCATTAACTTGAATGGCTGAGTTTGACAGCTGGTACTTCCTATCAACTCGGCATGCAAAGCATTGCGGCCAGAACATGTGAAAAGCCTCTTTTGGCTGTATTCAACACCTTAGGTGGGAGGCCAGGGGGAGTGTTAAAACTGCAATTCAGTTGCCTGTTATTACTACCACCCCCACTGCCCACCTCCCCAGCACCTGTATGAAAGAGAACTAAGAAAAGGGTGTTCAAGCACTCCAAAACATTGAATTGTTTGGACCCACTTCTTGCCTGACTTTAGAAAGATATATATATATAAAAAAAAGGGGTACACCAATAGCTTTACCTGCGTGGGTTTCCTCTGGGCAATGGAGTAGCTTTTAGAAGGATCCCACAATTATGGTATATATAAAGTTACATTGGTCCAAGCTGGATGGGAAAAATGCCATAACTGGGGCAGCACAATGGATAAATGGTTAGCATTTCCGCCTGGCAGTACTAGGGTTGTTGGTTCGAACCCCACCTGCCTGGAGTTTACATGTTCTCCCTGTGCCTGCGTGGGTTTCCTCCGGGTACTCTGGTTTCCTTCCACACTCCAAAGACATGCTGGTAGGTTAACTGGATCCTGTCTAAATTGTCCCTAGTATGTGTATGTATGAATGGGAGTTAGGGACCTCAGATTGTACACCCCTTGAGGGCTAGGGACTGATGTGAATGTACAATATATATATATATATATATATGTAAAGTGCTATGTAAACTGATGGCGCTATATAAGTACCTGTAATAAATACATTAAACTGCTTTTGTATATTAAAATTCTGGAGATATTGAGCTATATTGTTACATACTGCAATTGCTATGTGATGTTCACAGTTGAGAACTCTCAGGAATGCTTTTTTGGCTGCAATATAAAAGTTGCATGATTGAACTGATGGGCGTTCTTGTTCTCCATTATAATTATCTTTCCACAACACTAACGTGACATTAACCAGATTCCAGTTTCAGACGCGGTTTCATCCCCGTCCTGCTTTAGCCTTGGCTATCCCGGCAATGAATAATTCACAGTGTTTGTGTTACCAGATACACGGCAGGTCTTTTAAGGACTGACAAACACTGGTTACATTCCTTCACTGCTGGAGCACAAAGCCCTAATATATTAGACTCGACTTATCAGTACATCATTATTATGAAACCAGTTTGGACACCTATGGTTTCTTCCATCGTGACTTTGCCCTAAGCATCCTCAGAAGTCCACAGTGAAAGGCACCTTAGCATACAAGTTTCTGGTTACAGGCCACGAGAGGCTATGAATGCCTTTCCTTCGCAGTGCCCTGTGTCATGTCTACCATTACAGCGTCTTTATAAATGATGTACAATCTAACAAGAGGACAGCAAGCAAGACACAGGCTTCCCGCAGGTAGCAAGACACGGGCCACAATAGCCGGGCTTCGTCTCACGCCGAGTTATGTAATACAGAGGACAATGCTTACCCTTTACCGCCGTGAGCCAACAGTGACTCATGCGTTCATATAGAGAAACAGAACAAAATGAAATCAGACTAACCTGACCTATACACACACTGGAACAATAAGATGAGAAGGAAAAAAATAAAGTGCAGCAAGGATGGATTAAGAATTAGTAAGAATTATTTAAAGCAGACTTAAAAAGTGTTACTAAACCCACATCAGTAAAATCAGTCTGTATATGCAGTAAAGCATGCTGGTTATACTCACTGTGGAACCTAAGGGGTTAATCCTCTGCATTGTGTAAAAAGACTGTTTGAGTCTGTCTTCTCTGATCCTCCCCTTCTTCTACTGTCCCCAATCAATCTTCTGATAGTAAAGAGTTCTAGAAGTCACTCTGCACAAGCTCAGTTTACTGTGTATTGCTGGATGTTTTTTTTTTTCTTTGGGAGAGTGCATGTGATCAGCACAGGGCCAATCAGCGCTGTCGATACAGAGGTCAGGGGTTACGCAGCCTCATAGGACAGTCAGAGCAAAAAGAAAAAACTCCTCCTACAAGCTTTAACCAGTGCTCTGCTGGACACTGATAGACTTCTCTAACTGCTGATGAGAAAAGGTATTTAGCAGTCTGTATTTACTAAAATAATTGTGGGCAGCACAGTGGCTAAATGGTTAGCACTTCCACCTGGCAGTACTACGGTCGTTGGTTCGAATCCCAGCCATGGCACCTCCTGCCTGGAGTTTGCATGTTCTCCCTGTGCCTGCGTGGGTTTCCTCTGGGTACTCCGGTTACCTCCCACACTCCAAAGACATGCTGGTAGGCTAATTGGATCCTGTCTAAATTGGCCCTTGTATATGAATGTGAGTTAGGGACCTTAGATTGTACGCCTTGAGGGTTATGGACTGATGTGAATGTACAATATATATGTAAAGCGCTGCGTAAATTGACAACGCTATATAAGTACCTGAAATAAATAAATAATTGCAATTCCATGTTCTGTGTACTGTGATAGACCAGATATAGTGAATGCAGGGTCCGGGGAGACCAGATATAGTGAATGCAGGGTCCGGGGAGACCAGATATAGTGAATGCGGGGTCCGGGGAGACCAGATATAGTGAATGCGGGGTCCGGGGAGACCAGATATAGTGAATGCGGGGTCCGGGGAGACCAGATATAGTGAATGCGGGGTCCGGGGAGACCAGATATAGTGAATGCAGGGTCCGGGGAGACCAGATATAGTGAATGCAGGGTCCGGGGAGACCAGATATAGTGAATGCAGGTTCCTGGGTATAGCAACACTTTAAATGCATATTCTACTTTTTGTACAAACATTACAAAATACACTCATATTGGAAAAAAAAAGTGCACAAGTGCATTTATTAATTTTTTGCACTGGAGCCTGGAAAGCACTGCAACCATTACCAGTTAATCACTGGTGCAATGCACAGGCTCCTGCAGACTATTCCTTCAGCCCTGGGTCCGTATGGCGATACAGACCTATGGAGATGGAGGAACTAAGAGTGTGGTGACATTGCTGTGATTGTGTTCCATTGAGAATAGGTCCTCCTGCTGTGTTGGCAGATGGGACTTTTACACTGCTTTCACACTGCTTCGTGCAAAAAAACAGTAAAAAACGCATATATGTTTTTGCTGCATTTTAAGAGTGTTTTGCACCTGTGAAAAAAAAGGACATGTGGCTTAAGGGGGGCTTTTTGTGTCTTTTTTTTACTACACCAAAAATGCAGCAAGCAGGATTTTACAAAATTCAGCAGACCCGGAGCTGATCAGTGTGAAGAGTTCCATAGGATTTCATGGTCATGCATTTATCTTTTGCTTTTTTAATTGAAAAATTGAAGAAAAACGGAATTTGTGTGAAAGCGGCCTTAGTCTTTCCAGTCACAGATCCTGTGAATGGATGACTAGGTTGACGCACAGAAACACCGAATAAAAAAAATACAAGGGATACTGCAGGAAACAAAAACTCCAGGATTCAGGTATGAGAGGGGCTGGTTTGAAAGTGGGGGGGCTGGGGAACACCATCATGTTCCATGCTACACTCTAAATATTGGTGTAACAAGAAACACGGCATAAAAGGTAGAATAAGCCTTTAAACGCAAACTCTTGATCTACTTTTCACAATTAGAAAGTTTTTTAGGGTGGGGGGTGACAGCATGGAGCAGCACCATTGTCCATAATAGACTGTGGACTAGGACTACCTACTGCGTAGTTTTATTCTCACTACAGTAGTAGTATAGTACAGATGGATAAAACACTGCTTGCTTTTTATGTCAATAGTGAAGGTTTTGCTGCTTTTCTTGGGAGCGACCTAAAAAAAGTCAGACATCCCGAAATTCGCCTTAAAAGTGGACCCTCGCCTTTTTTTCCCCTAAATATTGCTCTCCTGTGCCTCCTCCCCCTATAACAGAATTGCAAAAGAAAAAAAAGGGTTAATGTAAATATTTCTCTCTTTATAATTAGGTCTGTCATGCTTGCCTAGGCAAGTACGACATACCAGGATTCTGCTCATGCACAGGAATACCACAGGTCACTCTGAGATTGGCTTTTTTGTTTCTGTGCATAGGGCATGGTCATGCCTCCTGAGACTTCTAAGTTGCTCATCCCAGGAGGCAAATCACGGTATCTCGCACATGCCCAGAAACAATGTGGGATGTCTGCCAGTTTACTAGCAGGGGTCAGCGGCATGACTGCCCATGTGCAAGGGGTCCAATGCATGTGTAGACACGAAGTAGGGCTCTGCCAGGTACAGTAGACCTGGTAGAGCACCCTGCAGTAAGCCTGCACATGTGCTGGAGATTAATTCTAGTTGGTGGTGCTGGAGAGAAGCAGTGTAGGAAGAACATTCCCTACAAGCAAGACATAACTATACTCCATGGACTAGTATGGGTTTTTTTTTTTACTTTTATACAGGAACAATTTTTAAGATTTAATTTTTCTAAGGGTGGAGTTCCTCTTTAAAATATCACCAAAATTAAAGTGTTACTAAACCCAGTACGCTGCATTCACTAGATCTCCCACAGTACACAGAACATGAAAATGCAATTATTTTAGTAAATATAAACTGCTAAATCTCATCAGCAGTGTATAACTGTCTTGCAACTTCTATCAGTGTCCAGCTGAGCACTGGTTAAAGCTTGTGGGAGGAGTTTTCTTTCTGCTCTAGGAGGATGCAAAACCCCTGACCTCTGTTTGACCAGTGCTGATTGGCCCTGTGCTGATCACATGCACTCTCCCAAGAAAAAAAAAAAACCCTCTCTAGCAATACACACCAAAATGAGCATGTGCAAATGCCTACAGTTCAGTCTGTCTTATCAGGAGATAAAAGGTGGTCGCTTGAAAAAGGGGAGGAACAAAGAAAAAAGGATCAAACTGCCTTTTTACACAATGCAGAGGAATAACCCCTTAGGTTCCACAGTGAGTATAACAAGCATGCTTTACTGCATATACAGACTGATTTTACTGTTGTGGGCTTAGTAACACTTTAAGTGCCAAGTACATTAAAATGAACTAACCAGCAGAACAGGTGCCCTTTCCCACAGTCCACGGCTGGAGCTCGTAACAAAGGGAAAGTCAGGATGTCGGACCCAGATGTATTGGTTCCTTGCTTCTTTAAGCGCACAGCCCGCTCACAGGCTGGTGTTGGACACCATCGAATCGCAGTATTATTTTCAACAAATGCCTGATGGTATGAAAAACAATGGGATAAAAATGACATCATTTATTGCAATTATTTTCAAAATAAATTCTATATATACAAACAAATGTGTGCTGTTCTGGGTACATGATTGTAATGGTGAAAGCATTCCATTATTGGAGGAAAAACACATAGGAATCAGCATGGTGGCAAAGGAGTTCCCTGTTCAGGCACATACATGTAAGTATATCTAAATCCCAATTTTTTTCATTTTGAATGCAATAGAAGCGGGTTAAAACTGCTGTTAAGTTTTGGCATTTTTTTTCCATCTGTGTCATTATTTATTATTATTATACAGTATTTATAAAGCGCCGATAGTTCGCTCAGCGCTGTACATTACAGAGGGGGACAGAACATGTGAGAGAACAATAACAATACAATGCAAAACATGAGGTGATTGAGTGTCATGGGGGAGATTTCTCTTCACTTCCTGTCCACTGCACTTAAAGAATATATAAACCCAACATTTCAAATTCCTGATATGTGCCTGCTGTACCATGTACTTGCATAAAAAAAGTATCCTGTTCGCTTTGTATTTCTTCCTTTGTGCAGAGGGATCCCTGGCAGGTTCCTGATTTCCCACACAGTTAGGCATGAGAGCACAGCATGGTCAGTTCTTTGGCTGTGCTAGGAACTCAGCCTGCTCTCCTCTATTGATCAGACTTGTCCAGACACCCCCCCTGCACAGCCATTCACTGGGAAGATCAGTGCACTGCTGTTTCTCCTCTATCAGCTCTCTGAGCTCCTTGTGCAGCGGAGAACAGAGGGTATGCGATCACTTCTAAAAAAGAAAAAAAATGGTATTTATGGTTTTTTTTTTTTAATGTATACACAATTATTTTGTATTTTAAACTGAATGGGTTGTGTTACTAGGTGAGGGTTTACATATACTTTAACCAGAAGTAAGAGGATATCTTTCCAATATAAGAGAACTCCCAAAGTATGCAGATTTCACTGGAATTAGGGTCCCTATTGGAAGATTTTCTTTTCATGCTTTTTTGGTGGCAACTCAAAGTTTTGCCTTTATTAATACTTTAATGCATAGAGAACAGAGCTGTGCACCCGGTATATGATGCACAGCGCATGCAAGGCCAGAGAATACCAGGTACAGAGGGTAAAGTGTACACAGCACATTTTCTTACCTAAAGGCAAGCCTAAGACTGCCAGGTGGGCTACATTACTAAATGTGCAGTTAAGAGTTTAAAGTGGAACTTCACTCTTTCAATCAAGAATGACTATTCTGAATCCTTATACTGCTAATTAGTAAATACGGTAGATACAAAAGTAGATCATATTTACTTATTTTAAACTTTTTTTTTTTAATTTCTTCAGTTACTTCCTGGTTTCCATGCCTAGGCAAATGATGTCATACATCATAGGAGTCTTCAGGAGGGGAGGAAGGGTTCTCAGCTCAGCCTGTGCCTGAGGGCAGATGGATTCCAGGAAGCACATGATACATGAATCATCTGCCCTTACTCAAGATGGCCACTGCCAGAAATGCTAGAGGGTGTTTTTCAAAATGATTTCTCAGCAAAAATAAAGCATGGAGACATGGATAGATGGGGAAGTTTGCTTTGAATATTAAAAATGAAATCAATAGCATTTTTGGTTTGCGGTGCTCAGATGCAGTGAAGTTCCACTTTGAAGAAAGCCGGTGTATACAGAGTACATCTAGTGTGGGCCACCTAACCCTAAAGCTGAACTCTGGAATAAGCAAATATTGAGTAAATACAAAATCCATGTGTATTCATTCTTGAATCTCGATGTGCTTTCTGTATTTCTTCAGGTCTGTGAAATAATCCAGTGTGAAACATTGCCTCTGTGCAGGAGCTTCCTGTAATAAAGACCAGTCACTGCTGCTCTCTCTCCTTGTGCAGGGGACTGGTCTTGTCTCCACCCCCTCTATTTTTCTGCAAGCAGCCTGTAGTGGGTGGAGCTTGCTGGAACCCTCCCACAGCTTTGCATAGACTATGCATAGCCTGACACTGATGTAGGCAATATCTGGGTTTCTAGTGCATTCAAAGTGGATTTACACCATTTGTGGCTAGTGAGGAAATTATTTAAATGAACATTTTTTAAGCTTGGAGCTCAGCTTTAAGGACCCTTGACATGGATACCAGTGCCCCCAGCTGTGCAATCCTTAGTCTTTAACTAAAATGCTATTGGATATCTTTTACATTTATGATGGGTATTAATTTCAATTGTAACAACTAACGTACTTTATGATGCAGATGTACCCCTGTGTACCAGTGTATTTCAGTATCAGTGCATGTCATATACAGTACAGACCATGCAATGGAGCAGGATTAGTACGCAACGCACATTATGGTGTACATAGTTAGGTGTCCTTTTATGAAACAGAGATGAGCAGTGATCCTGAGGATCGTTGCTGATCTCTGATCATTAGTGTTTTAGAAAACAGAAATGATCAGCGGAGAACATGTTCTCCGCTGATCATCTCAGCACACAGATGGCCAGTGTATGAAGGAGCGATGTCAGCCCTTCACTGGCGGTCTGTATTCTCCCTCCAGATTCTCCAGCCCAGAGGTGGAGAATCGGGGGAACCGCAAAAGAAGCAGAGGTAATTTACAGCTGCTTAGTAAACCGTGTTTGACTGATCTCTTACTGTAATCTCCCGAGATTGTAGTAACAGCAGCCGTTTTCCAGCGTTCAAAGCGTTTGTAGATCGCTTCTCCCTGCATTCGGAGAAGTGATCTACACCGCTTCATAAAAAGGCATTCAGAGAACTGTCTCCTCTGAGAATGTCGGAGAACTGAGCAGCGGTCATTTACCGCTGCATGATAAAAGGACACCTTAATCACTGCAGATTGCATAATATCAAGCAGAGTGTATACAGCTAAGCATTGAGGAATATAAAATGTAAAACAAAGTATACACCCGAGCACTGCCAAGTATAAAGCATAAATAATGTACACAGTGCTATATATATACAGGTATGATACAACGGGGGTTGATTTACTAAAGGCAAATAGACGAAGCACTTTGCAATTGCAGGTACTCCAGATCTTAGAAAAAAAAAGGGGAAGATCTGCTAACTTTAATCATCCAATCACGTGCAAGCAAAAATGCTAGATTTTTTAAATTAATTGCATGTGATTGGGTATTCTTTGCAAAGTGAAGCCTTACCACATTTATTTACCTCTGGAGCAACTGTGCTTTCAAAAGGTAGTCTATTTGCCTTTAGTAAATCAACCCCAATGTATAGAGTTCTTTAGAGCGGAGTGTGTAAAGTGCTGCACAATGTTAAAAAGTATGTTGCATATGAGGTATAGCACAGTGTATGAAGCAAAGCAGTAAGAACAGGGGCTTAGTGTTAAGCACTTCTGCTTGCTGCGCTGGGGTCCTTACTTTAAATCCTGGTCAGGACACTATTTGCATTGAGTTTGCATGGACTCTATGTGCTTGTGTAGATTTGTTTTAGGGACTCTGGTTCCCTCCCACACTCCAAAGACGTGCTGGTAGGTTAATTGGCTGTTATTCAAACAAGCCCTAGTATATGTGTGTTTGTATGTGAGATAGGAACCTTAGACTGTAAGCTCCTTGAGGGCAAGGACTGATGTCAAGGTGCTTTTGTAGCACTGCATAACCTGTCACTGTTACATAAATGCCAGCAATAGATATACAGCTGACCAATGTGGAGTATAAAGCCTACAGCATCCTGTTCTCAGCTGAGCACTGTGGTGTATACTACATACAGCACAGCATATAAAGTGGACCAGTCTGACAAATGAATATACAGTTGTGTTCAAAATAATAGCAGTCAGACATCACAAACCTGATCAATCACTGTTTTTGGTAGAAATGATATTTCTACATGGCAAATAATTTACTAGCAGGTGTAGTAGAGTAATAGAAATCCAACAGACCCAACAATCATGACATGCATGCTGCTGATTCTGTGTAATTGAATCACTAATTGAAAGGGGCATGTTCAAAATAATAGCAGTGTGGAGTTCTATTAGTGAGGTCACTCATTCTTTGAAAAACAGGTGGCAATTATTGCCCTTATTGTTGGGCAATAATGGCCCAACAATAAGGGCAATAAGTTGGTTGACTCCATGCAACACAGATGTACAGCAGTTCTCAGAAACAGTGCTTATACAACTAAATATTCATTAAGTGATTCAAAGGAAAGCAAAATCTTCAAACATTTTTCAGTTTATATAGTGAATGTTTGAGTTTGTAAAGAAGAATACAAACACTGCTATTTTTTTGAACAGTCTAATATTCACTTTTCTTCAATTTTTTAGAGGACACCACAAATTTGATATATTTTTCTTCATGTTTTGATTTGGAACAGAATGTGTCGTGTTCCCAATGCATTTGTGTGTATGGAAATAAAAGCTATTAGAAGGATTTTGAGCTTTATTCACTTTTTTCAACACACTGCTATTATTTTGAACACAACTGTACAGTATAATGTAAAACAAACAAAAGAAAAAAAAAAAAGCTAAAAGTGGGTAAAGCTGGTATCTTGGCTGAAGAGATCTCTTTGCAATGAGCAGAACGCAGCAGGTGGGTTTATCAGGTGTGGATGGGCAGACCCTTTCATGCCCACCTTAATATCAAACTGAAGGTATCTCTTGTCCATCTCCTTGGACACCACACTCTCTATGACCTCCACGGGAACCAGCTGGAAACAGTCATAGGCTGGGCAGAAGATGTTATGAGCTTCTCCTTCCTGAATTTTAAGGTTTAAAAACCTAAAAGAAAAAAAAAAAAGAAGTAAACATGTTAAACGGCTGGAGTTGCACTTTGAAGGATCACAGTTGAATAATATGCAAAACTATAACCTACTAAAAACGGTTCTAACAGCTGATGGTAGCATCTACAGCAGCCCATAGGTGATGCAATTTTCTTTCCTTGCACCTTGGGAAATTGCTTGATTCTCCCATCAACATAGTCACAGTGTTGATGGGGGGGGATTGTGCTCTGCCGGTGGGGAGCTTTCATGGCCAGAAAAACACAATGATTACTGCTAACGGCTCTAGAGGCTGTCAGTAATCGCATGTAAAAATTCTGACAGGCTGCTTGTACTTACTTAGATTGATGGATTGGCTTGGGTACAACCAGCTCGCCCACAGATGGATCAAATCTCGGCCAGTCCCTGCTGAACTGGCCAATATTTGATCAATCTATGGCTGGCTAAAGACTGGGAAACTTCGTAGACCTTTCAGTACTAAAACTAGGAAATTAACATTGGGGTTTCTGGGACCACGGTTGTTAAAGCAGACCTTCATTCATGTATCCATCCCATCCCCTGTCACTCTTCCGTGCCACCATGCTGCAAAGTCCGGTGCATGCATAGATGCACTACTGATTCCTGCCAGGTATTTGGGACCTGGCATGGACTGGTGGCACAGCATGTGTGCAAACATCGCCAGTTGCTGGTTAACCACTTGCTGACCCACTGCAGTACATTGACTGTGGCAGGTCCGCTCCTACAGGCACAAAATGTCCCTGTAGGTCACAGCTTCCTTCCGGATCTGCTCGTGCATGCGCACGCAGACCCGGGAGGACTGTGCCGTCATTCACTGCAGCACAAGCCAATCAGTGGGTGCCGGCCAATGGTTTATGGCTGGAACCAGCAACTTGTCTCAAGGAATGACAGGGAGCGCTTTGTGTTGGTAAACACCACAGATCTCTCTTCAGACAGCAGAGATGTGATGTTTATTTTCTCCCTGAAAAGCGGGGAGTTAAAAAAACTGGCACATCATTGCTTAGTAAACCACCACACAGTAAAAACACTAAACAATATTCGGCACACATTTAGCCCCTTGATCACCCTAGATGGTAGCCCCTCCCCAGCCATTAGTACAGTGATCGTGTATACACACATATATATATATATATATATATATATATATATATATATATATATATATATATATATATATATATATATATTTTTTTTTTTTTAACCAAAGGCATGTAGCAGAATACATTTTGGCCTAAATTTATGAAGAAAGTTTATTTTTTTTTTTTATTTTGGGTATTTTTTCATTTATATTGCAAAAAAAAATAAAAAACCCAGTGGTGATCAAATACCACCAAAAGAAAGCTCTATTTGTGTGAAAAAAAAAACAATATAAATTTATTCTGCATACAGCATTGCATGACTGTGCAATTACCAGTTAAGTTAGCACACAGTGCCGATAAGCAAAAAATGGCCTGGTAATGAAGTGGGGAAAAATCTTCCGGAGCTCAAGTGGCTAAAGGGCACTAGTTGCCTGTGGCCACAGCATACTGCCAACTAGGACAGCTGCGACGTAGCAATCCCAGGAAGAAGCAGGGCCCAGCCTAGGCCGAAAAGCAGGCAGAGCAGCACAAAACACCCAAAGGTATAACTCATTATTCTTTTTTTCACATTTTTTTTTGTAAGATAGATAGGGAGGATCAAAAAGAAAAAAATGTCGCTGGAAGGTGTTAGATTCCACTTTAAGGTATAAATAATCCAATATTTGTTTTGTTTTAATTCTTTTTTTTGGACAGAGTAGGAAACGATTAGAGCGCCTATAAGGTTCTTATTGAACATAGGAATGAAACCCCTGCACTACCCTCTGATGAAGTCACGTGGGCGTGATGTAACGTGTAAGGGGCTTGGCCCTGGGCAGACATGAATAGTGAGTTCAGCTGACATCAAGTGAAGCCTGCATCTGATGATTTTTTGGCATTTTATTAATTTACTACATGTGAGTGTACTACTGCTTCTTAATACATTTTTATATTTGGACATACTGCACCACGAGAGTGTCCTTTGTTCCCTTTTAAGGATAGGAATGTGTGACCTCCATCACCCTTAAAGGGACCGATCCCTGGCTCTGGTTTGACAATCTGTTGAAAGCTCAAAGGTGTTTGATTACTATCACATGGCTGTGGATTGAAAAAATGAAGAATCCTTTAGTCTATTTGATATCATAAAGCGCATTTCCATGTGCACTGAGGTGAGCGTTCTGTGATCACTGAGGTGGCACTATATGTTTATGTGCACTGTTTCACTTGATGGTGTTTGGGATATCAGCACAAGAAGAAAACACATGAATTAAGGAAGAATCTTTATTACAAATTGATTGCTTTTACATACAGTGGGGATCGAAAGTTTGGGCACCCCAGCTAAAAATTTGTATTAATGTGCATAAAGAAGCCAAGGAAAGATGGAAAAATCTCCAAAAGGCATCAAATTACAGATTAGACATTCTTATAATATGTCAACAAAAGTTAGATTTTATTTCCATCATTTACACTTTCAAAATAACAGAAAACAAAAAAATGGCATTTGCAAATGTTTGGGCACCCTGCAGAGTTAATATCTTGTACTGCCCCCTTTGGCAAGTATCACAGCTTGTAAACACTTTTTGTAGGCAGCCAAGAGTCTTTCAATTCTTGTTTGAGGTATCTTTGCCCATTCTTCCTTACAAAAGTCTTCCAGTTCTTTGAGATTTCTGGGCTGTCTGTCACGCACTGCTCTTTTAAGGTCTATCCATAGATTTTCAATTATGTTGAGGTCAGGATATTGTGAAGGCCATGGCAAAACCTTCAGTTTACGCCTCTTGATGTAATCCCCCGTGGATTTTGAGGTGTGTTTAGGATCATTATCCATTTGTAGAAGCCATCCTCTCTTTAACTTCAGCTTTTTCACAGATGGCATCAAGTTACCATCCAAAATTTGCTGAAATTTTATTGAATCTATTTTTCCTTCTACTCGTGAGATGTTCCCTGTGCCACTGGCTGCAACACAACCCCAAAGCATGATTGATCCAACCCCATGCTTAACAGTTGGACAGAGGTTCTTTTCATTAAATTCTGTGCCCCTTCTTCTCCAAACGTACCTTTGCTCATTCCGGCCAAAAAGTTCAATTTTAACCTCATCGGTCCACAGAACTTGTTTCCAAAATGCATCAGGCTTGTCTATATGTTCATTTGCAAAGTTCAAATGATGATTTTTGTGGTGAGGACGTAGAAGAGGTTTTCTTCTGATGACTCTTCCATGAAGACCATATTTGTACAAGTATTTCTTTATAGTGGAATAGTGTACCACAACTCCAGTGTCTGCCAGATCTTTCTGGAGGGATCGTGCAGTCAAACGTGGGTTTTGAATTGTTTTTCTCACAATCCTGCGAGCTGTTCTGTCTGATATTTTTCTTGGTCTTCCAGATCTTACTTTAACTTCCACTGTTCCTGATGACTGCCATTTCTTAATTACATTCCGAACAGAGGATATTGACATCTGAAAACGCTTTGCTATCTTCTTATAGCCTTCTCCAGCTTTGTGAGCGTCAACTATTTTCAGTTTCAGTTTTCTAGACAACTGCTTAGAAGAACCCATGGTGCTGATTGTTGGGGCAAGGTCAGATGAGTCTGGGCATTTAAAACCTTTGAGACTGACATAACCTGGTCTTCCCAGACGATGATTGAGAACAATCCATGACACTGGCAGGTCTCAGCTTTGCAAAGGGGGGCAGTGCATGCTATAAATTCTGCAGGGTGCCCAAACTTTTGCAGACGCCATTTTTTTTGTTTTCTGTTATTTTGAAAGTGTAAATGATGGAAATAAAAATCTAACTTTTGTTGACATATTATAAGAATGTCTAATCTGTAATTTGATGCCTTTTGGAGATTTTTCCATTTTTCCTTGGCTTCTTTATGCACATTAATACAAATTTTTAGCTGGGGTGCCCAAACTTTCGATCCCCACTGTATATGGACTCATCATGGACGTTTTATTCAGCTATGTCACTCTTATTTTTTGTAGCTATTATTTAGCAGAGCTACATCACTTATTTATTTTTAATTTATCAGGTTTTTATTGCCGTCTATATAGTTCTTGTCAGAATGGGAAAAAATTATGGGAAATTCAAAATGTTATAGTTATCACCAGAACAAGAGGAGAAGGTTATTCCTCCAATCAGGGATCTTGTTTCGGTGAGAACTGTAAGTTGAGAATTCCCCTTTGAAGAGATTACCTCTCACTTCTGGTTGTGTCTACAGGACAGGACAAGAAGAAAAATCTGTATTCTTTATTAAAACTCATGTCAGCTTACTTAGTTGTATTTAGTTAAAATCATGTCACGTTTAGGAGATATTTACTGTACCTACAGGTAATCCTTATTATAGGCTTACCTGTAGCTACAAGTGAAAAAAGCGACTTTACTACCACTTTAATACTGCATTTAAAACTGCCACACAAGCCATTTTGTAATTTGATGTTATTAAAAATTACCTTTCTATTTCAATCTGCAGCTGTTGTAAAAACATGATGTAATATGGCAACCTGGGGGTTCTCTACACCACGGTGGTGTGCAGAAAGCCCCAGAAATGTAATTTCCTGCTTTTGTGATTGGCTGAATGATTTTATCAGAAATCTGTACTAAGACATAAGTTCACTTTTAGTCTTCCCCTGCAAAATCAATTTCATTTTTTTTTTTATAATCCCAAATGCTTGCCTAGTAATGGAATGACAACACTGCAACATTATAACACTGAGATCTGCTTGAGGAATTAGAGGGCAGACCCTCCCATTCAGGAGTCAGTCTGGAAAGGACACAGTAAAACAAACAACTATCCTCAGAAAAAAATAGGAATCTGCAACAAAAGTTTGATAAATCTTTGCAATGCAGATAGATCCACATAGAAGGGATTTTTTTCCAACAAAAGTGAAATTGCACTTTAAACTTAAAGGTATTCAGTGCCACAGTTATTCATGTTAAAGTGGAATTTCATTGCATCTGCGCACCACAAACAAAATTTTTTATTTATTTCATTGTTAATATTCAAACCAAACTCCCTCATCCATCCATGTCTCCATGCTTTATTTTGCTGAGAAATCATTTTGAAAAACAACCCCTCTAGCATTTCTGGCAGTGGTCACCTTGAGTAAGGGCAGATGACTCATGTAGCATTTACTTCCTGGAATCCATCTGCCCTTAGCTCATTGGCTGAGCAAAGATCCCCCCCCCCCCCCAAAGACTCCTTGGATGCATGACATAATTTGCCTAGGCATGAAAACCAGGAAGCAACTGTAGAAATGTAAAAAAAATGTTTAAAACAAGTAAATATTATATACTTTCCTATCCATCCATAGCAGCATAAGGATTAAAAATACTCCATGATGATTGAGAGAGTGAAGTTCCACTTTAACTTAAGCAAAGTTGATTATTATAACAACTGATCAGCAGTTCCATTACTGGCCAGACCATTGTACACAGACAAGTAGAGGAAATGCCGGCTGGGTGCTGTCCTAAAAAAACATCACAGCACCCTGCTGCAGTACTCCTCTGAAAAGCCCCCAGCCCTGGTGCAACTAGTGGGGAGTCTCTTGGGAGAAGCCATATAAATTTAAAACCACCTTCATGGGTAGATGTCAGTCTGGAGGAGTGGGTGCTCCTATGCAGAGCAGCCTAGATATCGCTCACACGATTTCTGAGCCTCAATAATTGGAAGAACTGAAATTCAATGAATGAAAGGGGAGGGCCATAGACAGCAAATCTAGGGAAGAAAGAGCTAGATGATGTTGGATATCCTCTGGCTAGGAAAAAAAGCAGGTTCTACCTGATTTGCTGCGGCTTTTAATGCACACTGTGAGAAGCTCACAGTGTGCAGTGAAATCAGAATGAGCGCTTTCAGTACATGAACGGAGCCTTTACAAATGTGCGAAGCTGAAGACAGGGATGGAGTTCAGTTTAAACCACTGATCTCAAACAAATATGAAGGTAAGGACTTTTTCCTTCACCTTTTCTAGTATGCATACTTGATCTGGAATTAGTGACCCTGGCAAGGGGCAGGGGGGGTTGGCACAACAGCAAGGCAATTACCACTTTTAGAAGGGGGTCAGCAATGGTAGCCCCATACTTCGTTCAAGGCCCGGTTACATTTATTTCCACCCACAACAGAAATGAGTAGCCAGCTAGCTGTGTGTTTCAGGTGCTTTAGTGGTGCTTTTTACTGGGATCTGGCCAGCACTGCCGGTAAGGCTCACAAAAAAAAAAAAAAAGCACAAAAACAGGTCATGGAGAAGTCTAGATTAATAATTCCCCAAGACCTAAATCCATTTCTTATTAAAAATCTTATCATTTTCTCTTCTGGAAGAGCCTTGCCACACTGTCCTACAATTACATTTTGTTCTGCATGACGGAGAAGAATTTCCCTGGGGTTCGGCATTGCAGCGATCCTTTCTTTTTGGCCCTGACAGACATCCGCAAGTCTTTCAAGTGTGGGAAGGAAAAATGTCATTTTCAATAAAGTTGCAATAAAAGGAAGCTGGAGGCGGCCAGACTTGCTCAAGACGGAGGATCCTGTGTTAGAACGTCGTCGGCATTTCTACTAGGTCCGTGTCTGGATAATATTACAAATAATTGTTTTTATCATCTCCCACCTGCTGTGCGCACTGACAACCTGATATACCAGGGATGGTTCCTGCAGTGCAAAGACAGGGAAGCTTAAAGGGGCCACGAGAATAGGAATAGAGGAAGCTGTGGATGCAGATTTGGTACTGAACAGGCTGTGGGAATACAAGGCATGCATTGAGTGCTGACTGCACATACTGTTCAGCGATACATGGTGGGCATCGAGCAGTGCCTGCATATGATGATTGGCGATATAAGGCAGGCTGGCAAGCATCAAGTGGTGCCTACATCTACCTTTTGGGTGATACACAGCAAGCATCAAGTGGTGCCTACATCTACCTTTTGGGTGATACACAGCAAGCATCAAGTGGTGCCTACATCTACCTTTTGGGTGATACACAGCCAGCATCAAGTGGTGCCTACATTTACCTTTTGGTGATACACAGCAAGCATCAAGTGGTGCCTACATCTACCTTTTGGTGATACACAGCAAGCATCAAGTGGTGCCTACATCTACCTTTTGGTGATACAAGTCAGGAATCAAGTATTGCCTACATCTACCTTTTGGTGATACAAGTCAGGCACAAGTGGTGCCTACATATACCTTTTGATCATACACAGCAAGCATCAAGTGGTGCCTACATCTACCTTTTGGTGATACAAGTCAGGAATCAAGTATTGCCTACATCTACCTTTTGGTGATACAAGTCAGGCAACAAGTGGTGCCTACATATACCTTTTGATCATACACAGCAAGCATCAAGTGGTGCCTACATCTACCTTTTGGGTGATACACAGCAAGCATCAAGTGGTGCCTACAACTACCTTTTGGGTGATACAAGTCAGGCATCAAGTGGTGCCTACATCTACCTTTTAGTGATACACAGCAAGCATCAAGTGGTGCCTACATCTACCTTTTAGTGATACACAGCAAGCATCAAGTGGTGCCTACATCTACCTTTTGGTGATATAAGTCAGGCATCAAGTGGTGCCTACATCTACCTTTTGGTGATACACAGCAAGCATCAAGTGGTGCCTACATCTACCTTTTGGTGATACAAATCAGGCATCAAGTGGTGCCTGCCCATAACTTTTTTACCTTTCAAGAATATATGGCGGTATTGAGTGATGTCTACATAATTATTTAGGTGGTTGAAGACAGGCATCAAGTGATCCCTGCATTTATCTTTGGTTGTTACAAAGTCGGCCAGCATTGAGTGGTGCCTGCATGTACTTCTAAGTGATACAAAGCAGCCACTGAGTGATGCTTGCATAATGTTTTAGGTCAGTGGTCTCCAAACGGCAGCCCTTTGGTTGCTTTTTTATTCGGCCCTTGGGGCACTATTTCATCCACTGATAACAACAATGGGGCATAATTCCACACGATACCAACAATGACACCAATGATGGGGCACAAATCCTCCAACTGATGTGGGGAACTTTTCTACTTCCAATGGCTACAGACCAGCCCCCCTAAATTCTGAAGGACAGTAAACTGGCCCTTTGTTTAGAAAGTTTGAAGATCCCTGCTTTAGGTGATGCAAGAAAGGCACTTAGTAGTGCCTGCATATACCTTACCTGATACAAGGCAGGCATATACCTTTATGCGATACAATGCAGACCTCACATGGTGCTTGCATATACATTATGTGATACAAGGCAGGCAATGAATGGGACCTACATTTACATTTATGCAATACAAGGCAGGCCTCAAGTGGTGCCAGCATTTACCTTTAGGTGATACAAGGCAGGCCTCAAGTGGTGCCAGCATTTACCTTTAGGTGATACAAGGCAGGCAATGAGTGGTATATCTACATTTACCTTTAGGTGATACAAGGCAGGCATCAAGCGGTGCCAGCATTTACCTTTAGGTGATACAAGGCAGGCAATGAGTGGTATCTACATTTACCTTTAGGTGATACAAGGCAGGCATCAAGCGGTGCCAGCATTTACCTTTAGGTGATACAAGGCAGGCAATGAGTGGTATCTACATTTATCTTTAGGTGATACAAGGCAGGCAATGAGTGGTATCTACATTTACCTTTAGGTGATACAAGGCAGGCAATGAGCGGTATCTACATTTACCTTTAGGTGATACAAGGCAGGCAAATGAGACACAAGGCGGAGTGGTATCTACATTTACCTTTAGGTGATACAAGGCAGGCAATGAGTGGTATCTACATTTACCTTTAGGTGATACAAGGCAGGCAATGAGCGGTACCTATATTTACCTTTAGGGGACACAAGGCAGGCAATGAGCGGTACCTATATTTACCTTTAGGTGATACAAGGTAGGCATCAAGCGGTGCCAGCATTTACCTTTAGGTGATACAAGGCAGGCAATGAGTGGTATCTACATTTACCTTTAGGGGACACAAGGCAGGCAATGAGTGGTATCTACATTTACCTTTAGGTGATACAAGGCAGGCAATGAGTGGTATCTACATTTACCTTTTAGGGGATACAAGGCAGGCAATGAGTGGTATCTACATTTACCTTTAGGTGATACAAGGCAGGCAATGAGCGGTACCTATATTTACCTTTAGGGGACACAAGGCAGGCAATGAGTGGTATCTACATTTACCTTTAGGTGATACACGGCAGGCCTTGTATAGTGCCTGCACTTTTGTTTGGATGGTATCAAATAGGCATCAACTGGTTCCTGCATATATCCTTAGTTGACAAAAAGCAAGCAAGCATCAAGAGATACCTGAACATACCTTTACCTGATACCATACAGGCATTGAGTGGTGCCTGCATATTTGTTTAGATGGTAGCAGACAGGCATCAAGTGGTTCCTAAATATAACTTTAGCTGATACAAAGCAAGCAGGTATCAGGTGGTGCCTCTATATCCTTTACGTGATACAAGGTCAGCAGACACGGAGTGGTGCCTGAATTAACTCTTAGGTGACCTTTCCAGCATCATGGACACCTCAAAATTCGAAGGCTTTCACCTACTAGTTTTGTATACATCAGAAGAACTTTGGTGCAAACCTTGCTATATACATAGATCCATGGAGTTTCCTTTTTTTCTGGTTGTTTAGCTTTCTTAATAAATCCATAAAATGTTTAAAAAAAAAAAAAAAAAAAAAAAAAAGTTGTTAAGGCCAGCACAGTCACACAGTCACTTTCTACAAGACTGTCAAAGTGCTCAGCACCACGTATAGAGTGTTAATACTTACGACTCCCAGCATGTTCTGCAAAAGTCATGTCCACAGGGGATTTCCACAGGGTCTTCAAATACAGAAATACTGCACATGCAGATACCACACTGTGAAGAAAAGACAAGACGTGCTTTATTACTATACCGAACACACACATACTATTTGTCTGCGTATATCCAACACTAAAACAAGGTGATTATGCAGCAGAACGGGGTTAATGAAAGATCAAGCTCAGTGATTAGGTTAGTGTAAAGCTTGAGGGATTCAGTGTTTCAGGGGGTAGGCATTGGGGGGGTGAATGGAGGGTTTTTTTATAGTGAACCTCTGTTATAAAACATGAGGATAAATTGCTCCACATTACTCACAGCTAAATAGATTAGTAAGGGTTGGGTTTAAAGCTTATTTACTGCTTGTTAAGAATATGTAAATAATATAAATAAATAAATATGTCCATAGTCTGGTCACAGAATCACTTTGAGGATTTTGTTAAAATGTACAGTAAATAGAATGGGGAAGGGTTATAATATCTGTCAGGTAATATTGATTTTTGTTGTCACAATAAAGAGATTTCCCATCATTTGCAGTCATGGTCCTTTTCACTAGGACAGTAAGTGAGGAAAAACTCTTTAAACGTGGGTAGAGACAGCAATGCATTTTTTAATGGATGTTCTAGACTACCACTGGTTGCTAGATAAAAGAGAGTGCTCTAATTGCGGCCTGTGTTCTTCTTGCAAATTTTACCTAATGTGCTGTCCTAGTGACAGCATTGCCAGTGGAATATGAAAAGGGGGAAACTCTCTCTACTGGGGGTCACAGAAAGCAGTAAAATGTGACAGGGGTACTAGCTCTTCAATACTCTAGCCATAATGGAGGGGAATGTTTTGAGCAGATGAGGGAGTTAGAATCCCTTTCAGGTTTTACTGCTGTCTGTGTCCTCCTTGAAGAGATTTACATTCTCACTTAGAACTGGTGACCTCTGTTATGATGGGAAAACCCAACATTTGGGGTTTTCACCAGAACAGTAATACAGTGGAAATTTGCCAACAGAGATTCTTGTTCCTGTCACAACTGTAAAAGAGGGAATTATCCTCCCTTTTGAGAGATAATTCCTCCCAATTCCTGTTGTGTCTACAGGGCAGGAAGTGTAGGGAAGTCTCCCTAATGAGACACAGAAGGAAAAAAAAAAAAAAAAAAAAAAAAAAAAAAAAAAACTTGATTGGATTTATCATTCACTTCTTTATTCAAAATAAAAGACAACTTTAGACAGGATACATTCAGGGCTGTGTGCCCGCACCCACACGGCTGTCAAATTGGGAGAAGTGGCTGTTTCTGTGCAACTGCTGCAATGGGATGGGAATGGGATTACCCACAAAGGGATGCAAGGAACACTTGTGCATTACTGTGTGTGCAAACACTACTCTTGCAAGAGTGTATGCTATAGTACATCTGTGTGAATGAGGCCTTAAAGTTTGCAAACAGGCAGGATTTTTAATGAAAAAGTGACACTCTGGGGGTGATTTACTAAAACTGGAGCAATCAGAATCTGGTGCAGCTGTGCATGGCAGCAAATCAGCTTCCAACTTAAGTTGTTCATTTCAGCTTTAACAATAAAACCTGGAAGCGGATTGATTTCTATGCAGAGCTGCACCAGATTTTGCACCGTGCAGTTTTAGTAAATAATCCCTTCTATGTCCTTTCTGCTTTGACGTATTCTTACCCGCTTGTCTAGTTATAATATAGTTCTCAACGTGTAATTATATTTATTACCATCAATATTTGTTTTTACTATTATTCATAACTATCAAAACGGTTGTTTAACCGCCTGCCTACCGGGCACTTATACCCCCTTCCTGCCCAGGCCAATTTTCAGCTTTCAGCGCTGTCGCACTTTGAGTGACAATTGCGCGGTCATGCAACGCTGCACCCATATTACATTTTTATAATTTTTTTCACACAATTAGAGCTTTCTTTTAGTGGTATTTACTCGCCGCTGGGTGTTTTATTTTTTGCACTATAAACAAAAAAAAAAAGAGCAAAAAAATTTGTAAAAAAAAGAAAAGTTTTTCTTTGTTTCTATTATAAAATTTTGCAAACAGGTAATTTTTCTCCTTCACTGATGTGCGTTGATTAGGCAGCACTGATGGGCACTGATAGGCAGCACTGATGAGGTGGCACGGATAGACGGCACAGATGGGTACTGCTAGGTGGCACTGACGACTGACTGGCGGCACTGCTGGGCACTGACTGGCGGCACTGCTGGGCACAGGTGGGTGTCACTGCTGGGCACAGGTGGGCGGAACTGGTGGGCACTAATTGGCCTTTTACCATACCACGTGATCAGCTGTGTCCGTAGGACACAGTGATCATGGAGATTGCCGGGGGCGCGCAGGAGAGCGGGTTCTGGGAGGAAGTCATATGACACCCTCCCAGAACTGGCCAACCGCAGTGAAGCCGTCATTCGGCTATCTGTGGTCAGCAAGTGGTTAAATAAGTTTTCTACCCAACATATAGTTTGATGATATTTCTCAATGTTTAGTTACATTATCATGGACGGAATATTTTTTTCATTGTTGTCACATCTTTTTAGCTCTGATGAAAAAAAGCAGCCCCTGAATCGCAGTGACCTATATTTTTTGAGGATATAAAAACATATATTTTGGACTCTTCACCAGCAATGTGCTGCCCTTGTTTCTTTTTACAAACTTTGTGCTGCTGTCTGTGTCCCCTCATTTGGAAGATTATGTCCTGACTTCTCTTCAAGAGATGTCAGGCATAACAGGAAATAAGGAGAAATCTCCCCATCTGGGGCAAAGCCAGGAATAAAAACTTGACAGAGGTTCTAACCCTTCTCTGCTCTTTGCAAAGTTAAAAAAAAAAAAAAAAAAAAAAAAAAAAAAAAAAAAAAGCAAAGTGTCATTTCATATATAAATTGACATTACTTTATCCTCTCCTACTCTAGGAATGGGTGAATTCATTAAGCGGCATGACTAAACAACATGTTTTTCTCTCTCACATATAAAAGGTGCAGAACGAATGGGGTGTGTATGGATGTGTGAATGTGTGGAACGAATGGGGTGTGTATGGATGTGTGAAACGAATGGGGTGTGTATGGATGTGTGAATGTGTGGAACGAATGGGGTGTGTATGGATGTGTGAAACGAATGGGGTGTGTATGCATGTGTGAATGTTTGGAACGAATGGGGTATGTATGTGTGAATGTTTAAACGAATGGGGTGTGTATGGATGTGTGAATGTGTGGAAGGAATGGGGTGTGCGTAGATGTGTGCATTGTTTTGTGTTAGGACACCTGCGAGTGCGCAATGTGCCAGCTGGCATGTATATATGAAAATGCATATACCACCTTTTAAAAAATTTACTGTTAACCCAAAAACTGAAAAAAAAAAAAAAAATTACCATCTACAACAAAAAGAAACTGCACGTCATTCCTGTCTTTGCTAAATTAGCAGAGTCATAGCACACGATACGTCAATCACTCAGCTTCTCCCAAGGCTTCCCGAAGTTCTTTGGTTGTGTGAAAATAAACCCATGTGATCCCCCGCTTATCGATCTTCCAGCTCTGAACCCCCAAAGAGCAGCTGTCTAGACAGCTCCAAGGTCACCACTGCTCAAACAGCTGCTTGATTTCCTTTGCGGTGGCTCACGCTGATTTCAGTAAGTCAAGTCCTTTAAAAGTGTTATGAAATCTACAGTAAAAAACCCGTGGAAAAGCTACAGAGGTCACCTCAATAAAAGCGGAGCTATAACAGTGTGAGTAGCAAGAGGAAAGCTTCTTTATGCGATGTCACACTGGCTGATCATTGGCAAAATCCCCAACCTGGGAATAGCGCCTTCACTAGCAATTCAGATTCTGCAACATTTAAGACCGTGACAAAGCAATACCGCAGGAGATGGTGTGGTGACGTGGTTGCAAAGGCTGAAGGTTTTTACCTTCATACATTATGTATGAAGGTAAAAAAACCTTCTGTGCGCAGTTCCTCTCTCAGCTCCCCCGAATACTTACCCACGCCTGATCCCAATCCAGCAATGAATGCACAAGAGCAGCGGCTCTTCCATGTCTCGCCCTCCTCATTGACTGAGATACAGTGGTGGGAGGCTCCTACTGCTGTCAATAACAGCCAGTGAGAGGGAAGCAGGGGCGGGGCTGAGTCGCATCAAGCTCTCTGCGTCTTACAGACACACAGAGCAGAGCTTGGGAGCGAGCATGCATGAGCGCCCCCAGGGCACTGGGGGCACTCAGCGGGGGACCCAAGAAGAGGAAGATTGGGGTTGCTCTGTGCAAAACCATTGTACAGAGCAGTTAAAGTGTTACTAAACCCCGGACCCTGCATTCACTATATCTGGTCTCCCACAGTACACACAACATGGAAGTGCAATTATTTTAGTAAACAAACTGCTCAATACTTTTTCTCATCAGAAGTATATAGCAGTCTTGTGACTTTATCAGTGTCCAGCAGAGCACATGTTAAAGCTTGTAGGAGGAGTTTTCATGCTGCTCTAGAAGGATGCAGAACCCCTGACCTCTATCTGGACAGTGCTGATCGCATGCACCCTTCCAAGAAAAAAAGAAAACCTCTCTAGCAATACACACCAAACTGAGCACGTGCAGAGTGACTCCACATGATATGTCTTATCAGGAGATAAGAGGGGGACACTGGAAGAAGGGGAGGATCAGAGAAGTCAGGATCATACAGCCTGAGGATTGCCATGCAGAGGATTAACACCTTAGGTTCCACAGTGAGTATAACAAGCATTCTTTACTGCATATACAGACTGATTTTACTGTTGTGGGTTTAGTAACACTTTAAAGGATAAGTTCACGTTTACAAAAAAAATAAGTGCACATTTTTTGAAGGTAAAAAAAATTCTGCATTTATAATTTTTTTTGTTAGGTACCTGTAAAGCATTGCACCCACAATCAGCATATCGCAGGCGTAATGCCACAGTTCTGCAGACTGTGTGTATCTGTCAGCCCTCACCTCCAATGTAGGAAGCTCAATGAACTACCTAGAGCAATCAACAGAGCTCTGCTAGTTCATTGAGAACTACAAGCCAACAGCCACAAAAGCTGTCGAGACTTGTAGTTTTACCATCCACAGAACTCTGCGAATGAATGACGCTGCAGGGCGGAGCAGGGGCCAGTGCATTTGCAACATGTCACACCCTGAATATGGGTGTAACATGCAACAGGTTACAAAAGGTGAACTTATCCTTTAAATATAACATGTTTTTTTTGTTTTGTTTTTCAAAAAAGCTGAACTTTTATTATCCCTTTGAGTCTTGGGGCTCGTTCACATGTGCTTTGCTCCTTGAAGAGTGATCTGCTTTTGAACTGCTCTTCAGAGAGCATTTGATAGGCAGTGAGAGGTGTTGTATCACCCGCTCACTGTCTGATTTAACCCCTTGAACCCCACATCAGCATGCCAAAACTGCATTCATTGCATGTGGTAGCACAGTGCTTGCAGAGCAGGCCCATTCATGTGAAGGGTTGGGTTTGGTAGGAGCTAGGACCCCTGAAAATGACAGGTGGTATAATGCCTGCTGCATTGTGACCGCAGCACGTTTACATCCCTGGCTCTGAAGCTAAAGGGGATAGTGCTTGGGAGGCAGAAAAAGCAAAGCTCAAACAAAGCCACCCCCTTCCAACGTCACATGTGTTCCTCAGCTCGTGACTTGCCACCAGTGACACAACTGCCAGTATGAAAACAGGTCTAAGGGACATTTTCAATGGGCTTTCGTTCACTTCTCTCTACATACTCACTTTATCAGGTACTCCTGTTCAATTGCTAATCAGCCAATCACATGGCAGCAACTCAATGCATTTAGGCATCTTGATGTAGTGAAGACAACTTGCTGACGTTCAAACTGAGCATCAGAATGGGGAAGAAAGTGGATTTTAGTGAGTGTCCAAGCCTATGGGAATGTAAGAGCAGCATGAAGCAAGTCAACTACATACCAAATGCACCTGCAAAGCATTCAGAATGCTCTTCCAAGCATCTCAAACTAATGTCTGCATTTGTTCATGAAAGCCCATTGACAATGGTCCTGAGACTCTACCAGGTTCTTTTGAACGACTCTGAAATCTCCACTGTGCTCAGGATTTGTTGGAACGTAGAGAGGCAGATTCCAGTTGTACATGAAGCTTCTCTGTAATGATATTCAGCCTCTCTGTTCACACAGATCACTCATAAATTCCCAAAATACAACACAAAAAAGCAAGGGGTTCAAAATAACCAGCGCAATAAACATACCAGCGTAGTGTCAATGTCTCCGGGAGACAGGCTAATTTCATCTGGTGAAGTGACGGAGGAGCGCGCGTGGTGCGTGGGGTGCGGGGAGAAGGCAGCGTGTCCCAGGCATTGTACCCGCTGGGTGGCGGTGTTGGCATTTGGACACCAGATCGTTGGCAACAGCTCTCTGGACTGGTCATCCAGTCTTCAAGTAACTTCTCCCGATCCCAATCTACAACGAAACAAAAACAGTGATAAAATTGCATCCTAAAATCCATGTAACAAATGGGTCATCGCTGGACATAAAGAACAAAGATGAACCAGCAATTATTATTATTATTATTTATTATTATTATTATTATTATAATACAGTGTTTATATAGCGCCAAAAAGTTTGCTCAGCGCTGTACATTATAGTGGGGGACAGAACATGAGACAATACAGTAACAAAACACGAGGGGGTCAAGGGCCCTGCTCTTTCGAGCTTACAATCTAGGACTTGAAACTTTGGTATATTTGGAGTACATATTATTGTTCATTATTGTTGTAATATATTTCTAAAAAATAATTCCTCATACAAAAAAAAAAAAAAAAAAAACTTACATTTTCACTTGCCTGCGGTTTCATATTTATTTTCATTACTGTATTATATTCCTATAGAGAAAATGATCCCTCTAGTGGTCCTCTTTATTTCAAGGATTACACGTTAAATATGACATCATGACCTGAGAACTGCACAGATAAGCCATACCTGGCCCAAAGACATGTACTGAGAGAGAGGAGTGGTGAAGCACAGCCACCGTTTGTACAGGCAGCAGAGCCTGCAAATGTGACACCTCCTGTGTAAATATAGGTCTTGACAAGCTGTACACAGAAACTTGGCTTTTACAGCTGAACTGCAGGGAAAAAACATATAAATTCCTTGCAGTGGAGCTGCCCCTGCACAGCAAGTGTAAAATGCTTGCTTAGGTCTAGGGGGCTCCAAATAGTTTGACTTGCCCGATCCTCCACTCCCACAGGCTGCCTCCAAGCTGCAACACCACTCCCAGCAGCCTCTTTTTTCCCTATGCTCCGGCAGTTGGATGCCTTTGACATCATCAAGACCAATGCAGATGCCATAGCCTTGCACTGGACATGAGGACACAGAGGGACAGTTCTTTGTTGGCGCATAAGGGAGCAGAGGAGAGCACAGGCTGCTGGGGGAGCAGAGGATCAAAAAGGTAAAATTGCATTTTGATGCCCCGTAGACCTAACTGAGTATTTAACCCTTGAAGTACCCCTGCAAGGGAGCCTTTCCCCCCCCCCCCCAGAGGTGGACTTTAAAATACCAACACACATTGCAAACTCATTTCCAATATAAATCAGAAGTGCAGCGCTAGAAGAAAACACAATATGAATATATATCGTTAGGTAAACAGTTCATATAGTGACTTGAAGTGACTTCAGGTGCTTTCATGTAACTGTATCCTCCTATTGGTAAGGTGCTGTGATATAAAGTGTGGAAAGAATGCGCACTCACCAGAACGCACAATTAAATGAGCGTTTATGTATATTTCTTTCTCCTGATGTCATCTGCCAGTCTGGGTAGTGTCTGGAATCCAGTATATTCCCTTCAATGATCCTGGATGCTTTTAATAGGACATCAGGGTGGTCCAGAGTTCCCCTCAGATGATAACCTAGGGACTGCTCTATAGGGGTTGTGAAGGCTCCCTCTCCGGTGGTTAGATGGGTAGCTGTGGATTAATACTCCCAGGGGAGTCAAAGCAGAGACATCTCCATAGTGTAGTAAGGTATATGGATTTATTGAGGTATACGAAGATTCTTTAGCAAATGAATGGATAAAAACAACAACAACATGGACTAACCGTCCAGTGCATAAGATGGCCGCCGGAGCTCCACGATGCTCCGGCGGCGTGTCGTCACGGCGTTGCTGGCTCCTCCTACGCGTTTTGTGTGCACGCACGTCGTCTGGGGGGGGACTTGCCAATAACACCGAGCCGTGTGACGCCAATTTATATATCTAACCACCGGAGAGGGAGCCTTCACAACCCCTATAGAGCAGTCCCTAGGTTATCATCTGAGGGGAACTCTGGACCACCCTGATGTCCTATTAAAAGCATCCAGGATCATTGAAGGGAATATACTGGATTCCAGACACTACCCAGACTGGCAGATGACATCAGGAGAAAGAAATATACATAAACGCTCGTTTAATTGTGCGTTCTGGTGAGTGCGCATTCTTTCCACACTTTATATCACAGCACCTTACCAATAGGAGGATACAGTTACATGAAAGCACCTGAAGTCACTTCAAGTCACTATATGAACTGTTTACCTAACGATATATATTCATATTGTGTTTTCTTCTAGCGCTGCACTTCTGATTTATATTGTTCTTTAGAGGTTTTATGGTTACCTGGTGCACAGCTGCTATATTCTTTTTGTGTGTAAGCTCGCATATATTTTCCTTATTGATTGTTCAAACTCATTTCCATTTAAGCGGCCCTGTGCTTTGCACAAGCAGGGCAACGTAACCGGTTGAGTTAAAGAGACCTTGTCACCACCAAACCATAACTTTCAACGAAAAAAAAAAAGAAACCTCCTGATGATGATTATTATTCATTGATGATATTTTAGGTACAATTTTGACCTATAAAAGTCTCTTGGGTAGTCCAGTGTTTTTCAACTTGGGTGCCTTTTGAGTTCCATAAACATGAGACCCAGCTTGCTCTGGATCCAAGATGGATGCGAGGACTATGTGGTGATGGGAGGGGAACGACTCTCACATGATGTGCAAATAAAACACGTTAACACGTGACCCTGAGGAAGTCACGTATTAATGGAACGTAAGGCGTAGGAACGTGGTGACGTATTTCCGGCGTGGACGCCATCTTGCTACACCCAAAAAGCCCATGCAAGTACACCCATAGCATGAGGTTTTTGTTTCAGCTTGTTTTATGCTTGGAATAAGGGGATCCTGCTGCTTCATTTACTAATCTGTGAAGGGGATACCACCACTGCGGACCGATACTATGCGAGAAGGGTGGACCAGGTCGTGGATGGTTATTCTTGCTTTTTAACAGGCATTTTTGACCTTTGGGTTGCTTCAAGGAGGTGAGGAGGCAATTCAGCCGTTTATGGATTATTTCCTTCTGGTTGTCATGTGAATTTAATTATATCACCTGCACCTTCTGAGTCGCTCTATAATTTGGTTTATACGCACCATTGAACTATAATTTTTTGGACAATTCTTATGTGACATTTCAACATTGTTTTCGGAATATCACCTTTTGGTGTGATATCACATATTTATATTTTATTTTATTTATAACAAAATCTTTTGGTTGCATAAATCACTTAATTTGTCACTATTAGTGTGATATATTTAATCCCACATTTAGGGATTCACAATTTTTTCACCAATTTTGGCTAATTTAAAGCTCTTGTGGTCACTATTCATTCTAAATGCATTTATTGATCCCACATTTAGGGATTCACTTTTTATGTTGATTATTATTTTCACTGCACTAGTCACTATTGTGTGATATATTTAAACCCACCTTTAGGGATTCACTATTTTTTTAACTCAATTTGGCTAATTTATAGCCTTTGTGGTCACCATTCCTACCAGTGTGATTATTGATCCCCCATTCAGGGATTTACCTTTTATGTTTATTATAGTTCTTATATATTGAAGTCCCATTAGGACTTTTTCTTTTCACTGGCGTTTCTATTTCTACACATTATTTTATTCATTTTTTTTACGATGGTAGATCAGCTCACTTTATGAACTGAAAGAGATTGATTTGTTGTAATCACTGTATTGCATCGGTAGCATTTTTTAAGTCACTTATAAGTTTTTATGAGCATTTTTGTATGTTTTAAACTGTTTTATGTGCATTCTATTCTATTTTACATATTTATTGTACATCATATATTGGTTTAATTATCTGTTTTTTGGGATAAGCCAGTAAAGGAGTAGTGTAGTATTGGGGTAGCACTGCAACAATTCACTTTAGATTCTCACATGATGTGGGTCTCTGATGTATAGGGAAGACTCTGATGTGATCAGGTGATTCAGATTCTGTGGACCTCTGAGGTATAGGAGGGACACTGATGCGATTGGGAAATATCTGGTGTATAGGGGGGACTTTGATGTGTAGCAAGACAAACAATGTGATGGGGTCTCTTACAAGAAAGTAGGACTCTGATGTGATGGTGGGGGGGACCTCTGATGTGAAAGGGAAGGGTTCTGATGTGATGCGTGGGGGGTTTTGATGTGAAGGTAATTTCATACGGATGGTTGGGTGAATGGTCCCAAGCTCAGACTCCCCATTGAAAAGGACTATGGCTTTTTTTTTTTTTACCTTTTAGACTGGGGTGCCTTGAGGTACTTGCACACATTTGAATGCTGCGACTACAAAAGCTTGGGAAACAACTGTAGATATCTTACAGTCCTGAGACTGCTTCTAGGCACTGCCATCTTGAATGTGATGTCGGCAGCCCCATCAGATTCAACTGTCATTCAAGTTACACCATGGTATTCCCCTTCGCTTCTCCCATGTAAGGAAGTGTGGAGGAGCTGGGCCAGCACACACAGTAATGAAGCTATAACAGCTTAGGAATGAGGGGGGTGTGCTAAGGCACCGACTAGTCAATTTTTCTAGCAAAAGCACATTGCAAGTAACTTAAAAAAAAATTACGTCAAGAAACAACTCTCTCCAAGTCATCAAATGTACTGAGAATTTCCGAACTAATGTTTGTACAAATGTTCATTTGATAATCTACCAGCCAGTGTATGCCAGCTTATTACAGAAGCAGAGAATCTGTAACTGCCATTTAATGTTGCTGAACAGAGTATCTACTAGATTGCTAGACTTGTACAGCTGGCTACATGCTATAAGGGTAAAGCGCTATGGCCTCTGTCCATTGTGGAGAACATTAGGGACTGCGCACATATGCAGCTGGGACTGCCACTTCTCTTAAAAGGGAATCGTGCCTCGATTGCTTTGGGTTTGACGTGGTGGTGGGGGAGGGAGTTAAAACTGCAGCTCAACCATGGGGTTTTACCACCCCCAACTGCTACTGTGAACGAGCCCTTAGGGCCCAATCACACTGTGTGGTGACTGCTATTTACACAAACACTGGTGTGGTGTGCTGTGCTGTACAATGCGGAAAAATGTAGACATGCTGCATTTTTCCACAACGAACCGGAGCTCACCTATTGTTGAT